ATCTCAGTTGAGATTATTTTGCAGTCTGCTTGGTTTATACTGGGTTGGGCTTTAGTTTGCTTATGTAGAAACCCAAAGCCCTGGGGCCCCTTACATATAATGACCTCCAATTAATTATTTTAATAGTGATTTGAACTTAAGCCTGAGGGTTAAGAAATCGTCTGGCAAGGTCTGAATTACATATGTGTGCAAGACCAGAATGCACTTCCCCCAAAAGTATAGATTTGTTGAACTGAAGACCAAATGAAAGATCCAAGAGAGCTCTCCACCCTCCGTATATTGATCTAAAAACAGGGCATGGATTTTGAAAGACAAGGTTTCCTACTCTTTCCCAGGGAGAACAAAGGTTAACCATTAAAGCCAACTTTAGATACTTAACAGCCTGGAGATGGTTCCAGAGGAATTTATATTTACAAGTTTCATTAGCCTTTATCTGCCATTCATTTGCTGTCTCTAGACTCAAAGTGCTTTTCCTCTGTCACTACAATTCACTGTTCTTTGTTGAAGATGCTGTATAAACTGTAATTCAAAGTTACCTCTAAGGAACTATTCATTTTCCCAGGGTTTCTCATGTACATGAATTATACATATTAATAAAACTTGTTTTTTCTTTTATTAATCTGTTCTTTTAACAGGTATCTATTTCAACTAATATTATTTTTTCCCTACATATGCATCGGGTAGTTCAATGTCTAGTTTCAGCACAGATTTTCCTTTATTTCTTCCATTTCATGTCTTAAGTTCTTAGTTATTTTTCTGGAGTTCATTTGTTCAATAATTTTCTTAGAACATGCTATGCGCTGGGCAGACACCATGTTAGGCCCTTGGGAATCCAGGTCCCTGTTCTCACAAGACTTCTAAGGGGAAGAGACAAATAATAAATACAGTTATTATCTCAGAAAGTGCTCAACATTACAAAGAGAAGGATACAAAGTCATTGGGTTATTTATTGCGGAAAACTACAAGTTGCCACTTGGGAAAGGAAATATCAACTTACAAAAGCTCAGCTTTTTGAGCCAGCCAGAGCTTTACTTCAGTCTTACTGCTGATTTAGAGGAGTCACTGTAACTAGATCAACAGAACACTGCTTCTGTGGGTCAGCTACCAGGACTGGCACATGGTTCCCTATGCAGCTGTAATGTCACTCTGCCTCTCATGGGGTATCTTGATGGCATGGCCCACAAGGGTAGCTTAAGACAAATGTCTCACCTATCTTGTCAAACTCAGACACAACAAAGACTACTGTGTGCCTCCCAATGTTCTTTATCCACACATTGGAGGAGTTAGGAGTTAGGAAATTGCACAGAGGTAGGTAGGATAACCCCAGTGGCCCAAGTTATATCCTATTGATTTCACATACCATTTTACACATGAGGATACTAAGGCATCAGCTATTTAAACTTGCCTGGGACATACAAGTAGAAAGTGGCACAGAGGGACTTGAATGAAGACCTGGCTGCAGAGATCCTTGATGCCTGAAATGTGATCCATGGGCCAGCAGCAACCCAGGCCTTGGCACCTGTTAAAATAGGAGGCTCTGAGCCCCATCCCAGATTGCCTAAAAAACAAACTTGCACCTGAACAAGATCCTCAGCTCATTCTTAGCATGTTAAAATCTTAAGGACTGTTCTATATATATATATAGTTTAGTCGTAGTTGCACACAATACCTTTATGTTATTCATTTTTATGTGGTGCTGAGGATTGAACCCAGGACTTTGCATGTGCTAGGTGAGTATTCTACGGCTGAGCCACAACCACAACCCCTAAGGACTGTTTTTAACCACTCTGTTGAGACTTCCTAACTACCCTTAGTTTCCTCAGGTAAGAATCCTGAACTTCAGTTCCACCAGCAATTTGGTGACGCCTTGGAATCAAACATTCCCCAAGTCTTCCTGGAGGGGGAAAAAAATTGCATTATATTGCAGTTAACAGGTCTTTGAATCAATGCATTTTGGGATGTGGGAGCTAGGCATGGAATTTTTCTATCTGGTCTAACATATATGATGTAACTTAAGTGTGAGATGGGTACTGTGAACATTTCATCTTCTGCCCAGCAAAGGAAACTGCAGCCTGTCTTCCCACTAGAGGAAATCAAGTAACTGAAAGTGTGAAAATAACTCCAAGAAAATATCCAAAAGAAAAATCTGCTGTTTAATATTCTTCCATTTCAGGAGGAGGAAAAATTAAGAAGAATCAGTACATAGCAATGTCTAGATACCTACTTCATGATTGTAACATACCAGCTATGAGTTACCTGATCCCAATCTACCTGATCATAATCCATATTATGGTCATGGTCTTAAGGAGTGTGTGTCTAACAAAGAAATAAGATAGGTCTTGTTCAAACTGACCCATGCTATTGAGTACCTTAAATTTAAAAGTTGGGTCACACTGTGTTGCCTAGGTTGGTTATGAACTCCTGGGCTCAAGATGCTCCTGCCTCAGCCTCCTAAGTGACTAGGACTACAGGCACGTGTCACCTTGTGCACCATGGCACCTGTGTTATGGTGTATATTTTTAGCTTGCGGGAAGACATTTGGGCTTGCAGATTGTAATTTCAACACCTACTACTAAATCATGGGTTGACATATTGACGGATGAGGAGATAAAGTTCCAATGACAACAAAAATTAACTGTTTATCTGTGAGAGGAGGAAATAGATCTAGATTTCCATGCTCCTTAACATTTTATGATTCTACATCAACATGTAAAAGTAGGTAACATTTAATGAGCACTTCCAAATTTTCTCATTTACTACCTACAAGAAACTATGAAAGAGATTATCAACCATATTTTACAGATGAAGAGAATGGGACCAAAGATTTGAATAACTTCCCCCAGCTTATATCCTTAGAGGTGAAGCTAACATTTTCCAACACGCTTCATGCTTTTCTGTGTTGTCAATCATGTCTGGATGGCAAAAGCACCTCTAGCTACTTAGCTCCTATTACTGATGCAGTGGGAGAACCACAGAGATGAGGCATTTGGTGGGCAGAGCCCTTTTAATACACAGGCCATCCAATGATCTAAAGCAGGTCTCATGACTGCACTTTGTGTCATCTGGGAGCTTCAAGCAGTACTAAAGTCTGGGACTTACCCTCCAAGATTCTGATATGGTCAGTGTTGACAGAATTCTGGGCATCAGGACTTGGGGGGTAAAAAAATGTTCCTTAGGTGATTCAAGTGTGTAGCCCAGGTTGAGAAGGTCTACTTCAAATGTTATGTAAAAAGGAATTTTCTAGGGTCAAGTTTCACCCCCAAAGTATCAGATTGTCTTATATATAACCATTAATATCTAGATTCAAGGTTTTTAATTCTGCAACCTATAAAGTGAAGTCACTTATGCTTGTCAATACAATGTTATTTTAGATTATAAGCTTCCTATAAATTGTCAGAGGTAGTGTCTTATTAGTATATGTATCCCCAGAACTTAATTTAATATCCCTAGGGTTTGTTTTTTTTTAACTCCCAATTGGAAAATGATCAAACCACATCTCACAATGACAGACCATCTACTTAAATCCACTGGTTATTTGCAAGTTGAATTCTTACCTAATAGGCTTTAAGATAATTCAAGTACCACACTCTAACCCTATAGTTTTGAGATCTGGGGGAGGTGGTCCAGGTTGAATAGTGAGAAATTACCTGATCTCTCCTAACATGGGTCTGTTTCCATGTCCTGGAACAAGCAGCATAATTGAGATGGTCCTGGGCAAGGGCAAAAGATTGAGGCACTTAAGCTTGGCTGACAGCTACAAAAATTGCACTTGACTCCCTCACTCCAGTGTAATCATCAACCATTACCTGGTTAGATTTGCGCTCTGTGGTGCCTGGCCCTCCCTTGCACAGGGCTGGACCAATTTTCTTGCTCTAGTTTTTTAGTTTATCCTTTGAGGATTTGACTATGCGTGCCTTTATGACTTTCCGACTAAATAAAGTCTTCTGGTTATACTCTGCAGACATGGCTTCAACTCCTAATAAAGAGCAGTCTCTAGTTCTAACAGCTAGATGAAATGCCTTTCCCAGACTGGCAAAATCTGAATTTTAAGGTATAAGAGAAAATGCATACTTGACAGCGACCTTGACCTATAAGAACAGGTGCCCCATTAGCTTTGCAATAGCCACTCTTTTGAGGTCATTCTGAAGTTCATTTTCTTCACTTCTTTGAACCTCCCCTTTTCTTCAATAAAAGTGGTCAGCCCCATCCTTTGATCTTGAGGAACTGCCTTAGTCATTCATTTTATGCTATGCAAGCTGACAAAATTCTTCTGCATTTGTTTTCTCAGCCCTGAAGATGTACACATGCAGAATCCAACCACCTACAGCATTGTACTTTTCCCTTCTTTAAAACTAAACTCTCATTCCAACTTGGTCCTCCACAACATCCTTTCATAGGTTAGTGTCTCATTAAGATGTTTTCATTTAAGTAAAAGGCTTGGTCCTATCCCTAAAAATTGTAAGCAATTTTATGGAAGTCCTCTAAATTAAATGCTCGGGCAAAGAACATATTTTCTGACTATTTTGCCAAACCAGTTCTGGTGACTAATATAATGACATGCCACATCCCACATGCATTCTAGAAAGCAAGTGACTCAAGCCATAAGAACTTTTATTTTTTATGCCATGGTCTCATTACTGAGTAATACCTTATCCTTCACAGCCATAGCCTTTGAAGCAGATCAATCAATGCAAACTTGCCATTTATAGGTATCTTGAACAAACCACTATAAGGCCATTTTCTGTAACTTATTAAAAAAAAAAAAAAAAAGGAAATTTAAAACATCAAAAACAGTTTCAAGAGGATTTAAAAAAAAACAAACCCTCAATCAAATTTACATTGCACTCCTTTGGGTACTAGTATCTTTGGCTGATCTGGGATTATTTAGGCTCTTAAGAATAAATATCAAAAACTTTAGTTTGGCTTGATGAAATAAGAAAGGGAATTCAAATTGTCATTTATGAAGTTGTTTCACAATATAATGTTGTGTCACTAAGGAATGAACATTTTCATAAAAAATTTATTTCACACTTTTATACAAATATCCACAGGTATTTTCTAATCATGAAATAATTTTACAATGATAGTTAGTATAAAAACGTATCAAATGCAAACAGACCAGTGACTTGACTTGAGATGACATTTTTAACAACTATAAATTTAAACACCACAAACATTCTTGTTTTGTTTTTGAACTACCCTCCCACCCTTCTTTTTAGGACATTCATTTTCATAACAATGTTTAAAAACACCGTCAAAATATTGGATTAATATCCTATAAAGCCAATGTGTCTATTAGGCTCCATGTTATCCAAATAAGAAACTGAGACTTAAAACACTGTTATGATCTGTTTTAGAGAAATTTTTGTAAATAAAACATCATTTATAAAATTTTTATGAATGAAAATTCCAAGTACAACCAGAATAAAGTTCTTAGTATCTTCAGGGTACAATATTTATGAAAAAAAAATTAAAACTCCAAAGCAACAATGGCATATATAGCTGTATTTTGTTCTCTTAAAAGATTGAAACACTGCTTATGCTATCGCCAAATGAATTAGCACCTGTTTGCTCTTGCTCCCCATATAACTTTAACATTTTAAAGCAGAGAATTTTGTTTAAAATTCCACTTTCATATATATTCAATCTCTATTGAATGTCTAGAGTCATTGCTGTCTTTCCTTCCCACCCCAGCCAGCTTTTACAATTAAACAATCTGAAGATCTTCTTAAAATAGTTCCAAAGTCATCTTGGAAATTTTGATAGGGAAGGACACGAAATATAGAACACCGACTCACTAATTAAATGGTTCCAATAACATTTAAAAAGCTTACAGCCATGATGTTCCATCTGACTGGGTCACCATTTGGGTAGCAGATACTCATTCAGTAGTCTTACACTGGATCGGTCTGGATCCACCATAGGCACTCACCGATTAGTTCAAGTCCTGAATATACAGTATTTGCAGCAGTGAGTAAACAAGCCCTAGAGTTCAATGAACAAACTCATTTTCTCCACAAAGTTCCTGAAAGTTATAGCACTAAATTCAGAAATATCACACAGGGCTCTAAACTAAAAATAATAATAATATCAGGTGTCAGGTAAGAATTAAACATCTTTGTTACATCAAACATCTTGATTGTTTTTTCTTAAACTTTTTGTGTTGGGGGGGAGAAGCTGTCATGAAGGAGATGTCATAATTTACAGATAAGTTATTAAAACAACTCTCTGGTATATTTTATAAAGGATTATTTTCTTTTTGCAAGAAATAACTTGGGTCAATCAATGATCTCCCATGTTCCAATTCTGATTGTTTAAATCAACCTGAAGGATCTTTGGCTTGTTAGTCAATAACAAAATGGTTTAAAGAAAAAAATAAATATCACATACAAACAAGTATCACTAGCATTCAAGTCTGTTGCACCTGTGTGTTTTAGTGAAAAGGGAGAAGGGAACCTGTGTGCACTTGGTGTGAGCAAGGCGTCACATCTAGGGAATGGACAGAGAGAGTAGGATGGCAACATCACCTTCTATTGCACACTTAACTTTAGACAGCACTTGAAACTGAGACACAGCTGCCTTGATGGCAGAGTCTTGTGCTGCAGGACACTTAACTTGCAGGTCCTCTGATCCTACAGGAAGGATACTCACAGCAGCAGGCTAGGACGGCCATTCTGTTAGCGCAGGTGAATGTGGGTGCTACCAGGAGGATGTTGCCTGAGTGCACCTGGGCAGGCCCGTCCCCAGAGCGTGTGGGTCAGTCACACCAAAAACAAAGGCAACCCAGAAAGTTAAATTAAGGCAGTTAAAGAAAGATCCATTTCAATAGTCTTAAATTTGGCTGTGCAAAACAGAAGCTTTAGGCTGTGTAACAATATCCACAGTGAAAACTGTAGGTTCGTACTGTGTGTAGTCAGTCTGAAATTAATCCTCAGGTACTGAACAGGCTCTTAAATCCATTTGTATTTGAGTTGGGAAAAAAAAAAAACAACAAATAAACCAAAAAGCATTTTGGGTACTGTGAAGCTTTTCTGGTCCCCTAGGAATAACTTTCATTTTCATTCCACTTTGTGACCCACTGTTTTTTTTCAAGGTTATCATTGTATTTTTCATCTTTGATCTCTCGCTCTTCTTTACGGATCCTTACAGCATGGTATCGGGGAACGCTATCATCGTACCTAGAGCGCTTAAAGAATCCACACTGGAGAAGGAGGAGAGAAAAACAGACACAAATTAATTAGTCTCAAGAAAACCAACTACATCAAATTGGAATGGCCTAAGCTTTCTGTTCATCTGTATCTACCTTTGGATTAAGGGGAAAAAAAGACACTATCTTCTTTCAAGAAAGCACTGGTAGGTTGAAAAGAAATAGCAGCCAGTGGAAATAAGAGAACAGCCCTAAAACTCAAAGAAAAGTCCATTTTTTATCTGGTCTTTTCATTGTACAACAATGTAGGTTTTTTTTCCTTTCCTCCATACTGGGAATTGAACCCAAGGGTGCTTTACCCCTGAGCAATATCCCCAGCCTTTAAAAAAAAATTTTTGAGATAGTGTATCGATAAATTGCCCAGACAGGCCTTGAACTTTCGATCCTCCTGCCTCAGCCTCCTGAGTTGCTAGGATTAGAGGTGTGCGCCAGTGCACCCAGCTGTAAGTTATCTCTTGACTAACAATTTAAGAGTTTGTGAAAGCATGCTTCTATTAAAAAAAAAAAAAAATCATGATATTTGTAAAATATCCAAATTTCAGATTACTAAATGACTTGAAAAACAATTTTTTAGAGTGATTTTTAATAGACATAAAACAAAAATTATTTCATGCCCTTCTCCCACTAGTTAGGTGGAAACCAGGTCACAAATACTTTACAAATTTGAAAATATTGTGTTCCAATGGGTCAATTTAAGAGTCTTTTCCTGTCCACTGAGGCTTCAGTACACATCACATTTCTCATTAGCTAGAAGGTATTTTATATCACCTGGATTTGCTGTTGTTTCCAATTAAGATGTTACCACAGTAAATCATGAAGTAATAGTGTACTGCAATAAAATCAATCGTGTACCACACAGGACTTAAGAAAAGTAATGGAGTTTGAATTTTGGAGCATTCCCTAATTTTTCTTCTTCTTTTTCAAAAAGACAGCATTTACATTCAAATTGGTAATGAATAGATATTTTATTCACTTTAAAAAATTCATTCTGATCCAAAGTATGTGGAGAATATACCTGAATATTTTTGAATCAGATTGAATTTTTAATGCATAAAAATGTGGGGGTTTTTTTGAAGGTATGTTTTCAAGTTAAAAATGCAGCTTAGAAGGATGAAGAAGATAACTTAGAATGGTTGATTAATGTGTTTATTACATGATGGCAACAGGAATAGAACATTTATGTTGAAGAATGTTATATTATAAAAATGTCAGGGCAAGACAAAATCATATGCCTATGAACCATGAGGTTTTATTCTAGTCATTTCTACATGGACTTGTTTAGTATTCTGTGCAAAAAAAAGTCAGTATATTTATCACAAAATGAAACTGTTGCCTATTCCATTTTTAAAAAGTAAATTAAGGATAAAACGTAAAGTCAAAAGAGCAATGCTGGAAATTCATTGTGACAGTGCCACATGAAGGAATTCAGGAATCATTCTTTCTTTTTGTGTCCATAGAAATGGAAAAAGGAATCACCCAAAATTCCTCCTTCCATGGCTTTTCAAACCAGAGAAGCAAAACATGAATTAAAATTAACTGAGACTCAAGGCAGAATAAAATCTCTATAAGCATGAAACATGGTCAAACTCCATTACAACATAATGAAATAAAAACTACCCAGAACTTTTTTGTACTGGAATTTTGTATATAGAAAGTTACTTTGGCAGATGACTATTTTTCTGAAGTTGATCATAAAGCCCATAAGGCTGACAGTCACTCTTTGTTGTAATGGTCTTTGGCCTGAAGGAGATATGCAGGGAAAGGAAGTTGCATGCTTAGGTAGCATAAAATGATTTCCAAGCAACCATAAAAAGCATTCCAAGCCTGCCCCATCATTTCATAGCAAGGAGAACAAAAAGAGGAAACCTCTTTGTCAATAGAAACACAAAGTTTCCAACATGCAACAGGTTAATTAGGCAGTCAACACAAGCTTCTATCCCTGGGAAATTCCAAAATGAACAAGAAATCTGAGAGATTTCTTATGCACCTTTGAAATTCCGAGTGGGATGCTACACACTGGATTAACAGCACGGGGCAAACTGGGCTACTATGGAGGTCTAAAACCTCCTTTTATGTGTGCAAAGGTTGCGATTTTCTTCATTGCTGTGGGTGATGTTTAACAAGAACACAAAATAACTCACCTGCAAAAAAAGATTCTTTGTGCATTGAAACAAACAAACAAAAAACAAACCTGTGTATTTTCAAGTGACATAAATAAAATAAATCCAAGCAAGGCAAGCCAGTGTGGACATTTGGAAACATCTGTTAATGGAACACATAGCAAGCTGTCGCTCTTAAAGTTAGCCACCACAACCATAAGCAGGTCCCACAGCTAGCAATTAAAAAACATTGATCAATTACCAATTACAGAAGTAGATCAATACTATGCATCAGAAGTAAGCCTCTCTTTATCAGACGGCTGAGCATGGATCTCAGCCTTGTGATATGTGGCATCATAATGATCTTTCTTATTTCTCTTGAAGAAACCACACTATAAGGAAGCAAGGTATTTAGTCAATTTTACAGCTTTGTGGATAAGAGAAGAGCTAAACAAAAGAACATCTCAGATTTTAACCTGCTTTCTATTTATGGCCCCTTGCCAGAGACCTGGTCAACCAGAAGTGAGCTGCCACTGCATATATTATCCTGGGACAGCGTTCAACACATGCTATTATTGAGGGTCTCTGGTCAAATGGTTACATGGAGATGCTAATCCACTAATTTTTTTTTTATTTGTAGACAAAATCCTAAGGACAAAAATCATTCTAAAAAGGAAAAATCTATGCATGTTTGATTGTAGTTTTGGCTGATTTCTTCTCACAGAATAGAATCCAAAAGGGCAAAAGAGTGACTTTTACAGTCTATTGAGACAAAGGTTAGAAACTAAATTCCCTAAGTAAAACTTAGCACAAATCCAAATAAAATATAGACATACTACTTTTCTGCCTTTTGCAGTAAATTTTACGGAACAAATTCCATTTACTTAAGACCTTTGGATCTGTGGGGTGAATCGCAATACAAATTCGAATACACTGTCATGAAAGCATGATTGCTATCATTTTCCCAAATTCTGAACCACCACATAACCCTTAAATGGTAGGAATCTGTGTTCCTCAGGTTAGGACACTCTAAATAAGTATAAAAGTATAATTCCACTTTCTACTATAATTTCCTTCATTCAAGAATGGAGAACTTTTTCTGTTTATTTTTATCTAGTTCATAAGGTCATGGAACTGCTCTTTGGAATAAACTTGGCTGAACAAATCTTTCCTGGAAAATTCTGCCAACTAGTGAAAGTAAAAATCTAGATCCATTTTGCATGATATGACAGCTACTAACTACATGTAACTATTCAAATTTAACATTCAGTAATTCTGTCACAATAGCCATATTACAAGTGTCAATGGCCACATGTGACTCTTGTCTACCATACTGGACAGTGTCATTCCAGAACATTTCCATTACTAAAGAAAGATGTGTTGGGCACTGTTGAACTAGACTACTTGAGATTTATCTATGACATCCAATGCAATAGACAGTGAACACACCCAGCCAACTTTCAATAAGTACTAGTAGATAGATAACGAGTAGGAAGAATGAACCAGGATCCAAGAGTCCTGGGTCCTGCCTCCAACATATCAACATATTTTTTGGCGGAAGTGCGGGGGTGGGGTGGGGGGTGGGGGTGGGGAGAGAAGGTATCTGGGGATTGGATTGAATCCAGGGATACTTTACCACTTAGCTACTTCCCCAGTGCTTTTTATTTTTATTTAAATTTGAGACAGTGTCTCATTAAGTTTCCGAGGCTGGCCTTAAACTTGTGATCCTCCCACTGTGGCCTCCCGAGTCTCTGGGATTATAGGTATATGCCACCACAGCCAGCAGCAACATTCTTAATATCCCTGATCTAAAAAATGAAAGTGAATGGATCAGCTGAAGACTTTTACATTCTAGCAAAATCCTAGGCAAAGCAGATAAAAGTAGAACTTCTCTGTTTAAAGTAGAGGTCTCTATCTGCTTAGTTTAGTTGTGCCACCCATGCAGAGGTACAAAACTCAAATTTAAAGACCACTGAACCAGAATCTTTTCGGACCATAATATTCTATGGCCTTAAAAATAAATAATTTAGTTTCAGAAAGAATATAAAGTAATAAGAATTACTTTCATGTGGGGATTAGAGAAATTATCTGATAGAGTCCTCTTGAGGGTCTGGATACTTCAGAGCTTAAAACAAAAAACAAAACAAACAAACAAACAAACAAAAAAACCCAATGAAATCACCAAAGTCCAATCTGCTTATTAAACAGCTGAGGCAAATCAGAGCTCCAGAGAGGTGAAATTATTTGCCCAGGATTATAATCACAGAGCATGGTCTCTTAACCCTCAACCCACTGCTTTGTCTCAGTGAGGATTAAAGACTGCCAATAAGATCTGCTCTGAAGATTGTCCTTGTGACCTCCTCAAAAAAAAAAAACATAAGCCCACACCAAACCCCAAATTTAGTTTCTGAGATAATAATAATTGTCATGGCAACTCCTACATGGGCTGGCTATGCGTGCTAGAGAAACATACTGCCTGAGGTAAACATCAGGGATAAAACTAGCTAAAGTCCCATGAATAGGAGTCTTGGTATGAACTGATAAGTGGCATCAATCACATGTTAAGAGCACCTTAGAAAATTATCTTAGGCTGAACCAGGAAGTTACTTGGAAGAATAGAGCAAAAGAGAGATGCCTGACATTTGAAAGTAAACAAATCCTTGAAACCTTGTCCATTTATATTTTTGAGTCAAGGAAAGGAAAAGGAACCCTTTGATTCTAGAAGGTGATTAGTTCAGCCAAAACTCTCCAGACCAGATGTGTTTAGGAATCCAGAATATGGGGCATTTTAGAAATGCACTATGCTGCATACATAATGCCACTGTAATAAAAATATTAATATTTCTGCAGTAAAACTGATGAATAAAGGACAAAGACTATACATGGCTTTTCTTCATATCATGTCAGGTTTTCTGGTAAATCAATCCTTAAAAACCTTTCCTGGAATCACAGATAAGGTACTAGAGACCTTTGATATTCACTGGGAATAATACAAAATCTATAGGTTGGTTTGTATCCAAGTCATATGCCCTTTTCATGATATAGATTGTTTATTGGTGGGGAGAAAGAGGGACGATATCATATGTATCATATATAGTCAAGAGACCAAATTCTAATGAGCATCACATTGAGCCCAGACCTCGCTTATGTTTGATGTAGGCTATGATGAACCCCTTTGAGATGGTGCTATTCATTCATTTCATGTTTTCTTTTTTTTAAATTTAATTTAATTTTTTTATTAGCTACACATGACATTACAATGCATTCATTTCATGTTTTCTATTTGTACTCTAGCTGCAAATGTAACCAACGCCAATGGCTGCCTTGAATTTTTTTTTTTTTTTTTTTAAATAAAAGTTGAAACTAGCTGGAATACAAAATCAGATTAATCTTATATCCAATAATTTATCTTAGATCCAGACTTTGATTTTATGTAAAGAAAATGCTAAAGTAGTAAAATTTAAATTTGTTATTTGCCAAATATGCTAAATTATATGCATGAGACAACAAAATGTATTATTTGAGAATCTTCTTGTGTGCTAGTCATTGTAAAATCCTCTCAAATTTACTATATGTTGGAAAAATTTCATCATAAAATGTTGGGAAAAAAGGAAGCAATGAAAGAGAAAAATAAGCCATACTCTGATATTAATTCACCCTTTTTAAAATGTGAAATAGTTTGTATCATGAAACTCAAATGCTAGATATGACTTACCTTCCATAGTAAAAACACTAATAGAGCAAGCATCAAAATCCCAGCAAGAATAGCAACGAGAATGATCCACCAAGGTACTCCGGAGTACTGAGCTGCAGTTTTTGAGGGAAACACAGTCACACGAACCTACAGTGTATAAAAGAAAGCAAACTGCTGTAAATTGGGGTGTGGGTTAATGCCAGGGGTCTATAGTTCTACTTCTGATTCTGAACATATTTTGAACAACAGTCTATGGACAGATAAGTTGACTTTCTGGTGAAGATCCTTTTTCTTAATGTAGTGGAATCACAGTGCTCCAAGAGATATTCCCTGAAGATCTTTTCCCAGGGACTGGAAAAGGCTGGGCTATGCTCTAACAAAGTAGTTATTTCTTTGCCAACTTATCTTTTTTAAAAAATGTTTTTTTAAGCAAAGGTAGAGAAACTAAAATGAACCATCATGTATTCATTGCCCTGTTTTAACAATTATCAATAAACAGCCAATCTTCTTTCAACTATACAACCTAGTATCTTTTTTTTTTTTTTTGGTCTGGCTAGGTACAGAACCTTCCATTTGCTAGGCAAGTACTCTGACACTGAGCTACATCTCCAGATCTTAACTTGGTACCCTTTTGAAAAAGATCACATTTTTTTTTTAAGTACCCAAGACTGAACCCTGGGATGCTTAACCCCTGAGCCACATTCCCAGCCCTTTTTGAATTTTTTATTTTGAAACCTCGATAAATTGCTGAGGTTGGCTTTGAATTGTCTTGGCCTCCCAAATCCCTTGAATTACAGGTGAGCAGGTTCACACTTTCTTTTAGTTACCTTTTGGCAAGGAAAATAAAAGGGCCAGTTTTCACACAATTAACATACAAGCCTCAGATTTTAAAGATATAAAATACAAATAGAGATGGAACTGCATGAATAATAGACAGCATTTTATCTTTTTCCTATGATATTGAAATGAAAGGCCTTATAAACAATACGATTTCCTGAAATGGCTACAAAACTGTGTGAACAAGCTAGACCCTAGATTCATTCTGAAGCAGTTTAAACTCAACTTTTTATTTCTTTTTCGTTTTTTGGTAGTACTGTGGATTGAACCCAGGGGAGCTCTACCACTGAGCTACATCCTCAGACCTTTTTATATTTTATTTTGAGACAGGGTCTCACTAAGTTGCTGAGGCTGGTCTTGCATTTACAATCCTCCTGCCTTAGTTTACTGAGGGCTGCGTCACCATACCTGGCTTAATCTCCGAACATTTGAGAGTTGGCAAACACTTATAAAAATAAACATAGTGTTTATCCAGAAACCTAAAGAGTTGTTTTTGGCAATTTTGCAACCACTCAGATGCGCTCATTCACATTTGTCCACTCTGTCTAAAGGAAGTCCAGTCGAATCCAAACGGATTTTTGTGATGCCAAGCACGATTTTTCAAAGCCTAGAAAAGACTGTGATTGCTACAATGATTAGAGAGCTGCTGGCTTAAAAGTTTCCAAACTAAGAGACTATAAAGCAAAGGGTAAACAAAACTCCAGGGAGTACTTAACTTGAAAGACACAGGCTTCAACCCTGAATACTGCTTGAACGTGTAATTATGTCTACACTGGGCTACAATATTTCTATAGTGTACTATAACTCATTTTTTAAAACCTCTTCATTAAAGTACTTCTTTTCCCACTTCTACTAGAAAACAGTTCATCAACCTCATGTGACTTACAGAAAATAAGTAAAAAAGTAGAACTGCTTTTAAGCACTTAATAAACAGGAGGTTACATCAGGTTAAACAGGAGGTTAAACAGGAGGTTACAGGAGTTTGCAGTCAACAGTCTACAATAGGCATAACACATTCACGAGCTGCCATTTTTCCTGGTGTGCCCTGAATGAATTTTCCCCCAAGCTTCCAGATCCAAGGTCACATCATGGCTCTTATGTCCCCTCCCCTCATCTCATAGGTGTCCGGCTTTAAGCCCAAACAACCCTTTTTTGAGATTGCTGGGTCCAGGTCAGGGGCATCAATACAGGGAAGAAAGAAGAAATGGGGGTACTTACTTTTACTTATCATATTTTCTGTTATATTTGGCAGCCAGGAAGCTTTGATATTCTCTACCTACTTCCTTAGGAATAAAGTGGAAATACACACCCCCCTAACAAACAATCCCTCCTTCCTTAGCCTGCTTCAATAATTCTCTCCTGGTTTAATCACCCAGATCATGAAATCCTTGACTGTATCTTTTTCAATTTTGCTTCTAGGATGCAGCACAGAGAAGGCAGATGTGTCCTTAACAGGTGCTTAACTGCATGGACTTAATTTAGTATATATTGGTAAAATATACTGGTAAGGCTGTAAGCCAACTACAACAAAACGATGACTTCCGCCAGCCTAGGCTGGACCTTATTTAACCTCGCTCCGTAAGTACCTAGCACAGGGAAGACACAGTGTGTCCTTGGGGCAAGATGATCAATGGATAGTCTCATTTATAAGAATAAATTCTCATAAATCTGAAGTGGATAGTGGGGATAGGTCTGTGGCAAGGGCATCAGCCTATGATAATTACATTGTGTACCAGTGCCTTTAAAACATCCCAGGATGGGAGAAACCATGTCCATCAATGGCTGCTGTCCAATAGGGTTAAACAAGATAATTTTTGGTTTTGTAGCCTGGGCCGAGATCCAGCAGAATCACTAAGCCCAGGTCTAGCCATTATTCCAACCAGAACTGAGAGACTTTAAATATTATAAAAACAAAACAAAACATTTCTCTGGGTATCAAAGAGTGAAGATTCAAGTCAGGACCTGGGCTAGCTACACATTTAAAGGACAGATGTGATTTGGAACAGGGAAGGTGAGAGGCCCGGTATCGTTTGTTTACTTTGTCAACTGAAGGGATTTTTTTGGCATGATAGTCACCCCAGCTGGGAATGGGAAGACGTGGGGAGCTGGCTGCAGGACTAAGTTAAGGGGAGACCAACTATGGGCTATGATCCCCAGCTCTGAGAAATTTTGTTTTGTCACTGTAATTGTTACTAATGAACAAGGATAGCTTAAGGCAAGTAGAAGTTACTGTAGAGTGTGATGTCTCCAAAAACAACTTCTCCCCTTCGGTGTTATGCATTTCCACTAGGGTGACCTACACATGTGAACCTTATCCATAAGGGGAAAGGGCTCAAGCCCTATTGATACTTTACATTCCACATTAGTGAGCAGTGCAAAGACTACACTAGCTTGCCAACTGCCAAAATACTTTTGCTGAATTACTCTATAATGTAATGCTCTCAATTCTTATTGAACATCAGAACAAGAAATCACCTGGTGAAGGGATTTTCTATCTTTTATAAGGCTCTCTATTAAAGATACTATCCACTCTTAGTGAATGTTCCTCATATAAGAACCCATCTTATAAAAGGTATATCTCAGGGCTAAGATTGTGGTTCAGTGGTAGAGTACTTGCCTAGCATGTGTGAGTCACTGGGTTTGATCCACATAAAATAAATAAATAAAATAAAGGTATTGTGTCCATCTACTAAAAAAAAATATATGTGTATATATATACATATATAAAAGATATATATCTCAAGGTCTTCTCTAAACTTAAAAGCAGAAAAGGAAATCTCATTCTCATGAAGAATGGAGTACTTACTATTATTATTTATTATTATTAGGTATCAGGGATTGAACCCAGGTGCACTTAACCACTGACCCACATCCCTAGCCCTTTTTTATATTTTATTTAGAGACAGGATCTTGCTAAGTTGCTTAGCTCCTTGATAAGTTGCTGAGGCTGGCTTTGAACTCACAATCCTCCTGTCTCAGCCTCCTGAGCCACCAGGATTATACGCGTGTACCACCACGCCTGGCTGGGGGTACTTACTTTTACTTATAATATTTTCTGTTATATTTGGCAGCCAGGAAGCTCTGATACTCTCTACTACTTCCTTAGGAATGAAGTGGAAATACACACACCCTTAACAAACAATCCCTCCTTCCTTGGCCTGCTTCAACAATTTTCTCCTGGTTCGATCATCTGGATCATGAAATCCTTGACTTTGTATCTTATTCAATTTTGCTTCTAGGATGCAGCCCAGAGAAGGCACATGTGTCCTTAACAGGTGCTTAACTGCATGGACTTAATTTAGTTGTTAATATGGAACCATCTTATCTAGTTCAACTGTGTAATTTTGGCTCTGATTCTGTTATGACAGTACTAATATAAAAATAAAAATGTTTTATTGAAACATTTTGGGTAATAAAGAAAAGGCTTTTTCTTATTACTTTTTAAAACAGCATTAGAATAAAAGCAGTGAGAAATTGTTTTGATGTTAATGTCAAAAAGAAGACCAAATATACCACCTTTTATGCTTATCTCCAAAGAAAATAATCTTCAGACTAGAAAGGAGAGATGAAACCAAGATGAAGATGAAACTGCATCCCATAATAAGTAAGGGAATAAAGAAGGAAGTACAGTCTGACACTTGAATTAAGCTCAAATCTTCAGGCCCCAAAACTGCACCTTAAAATACTAAAGAAAAGTATAGGCATGATATCTGAGCTATTGTATCTCAGAAATCACAGAAAATAGGGGAGATATCAGAAGACTAGAGATGAGAAAAATGTCTCAATTTTCAAAAGAAATAGGCTTTAGATAAAAGAGACTAGTAATCCATTTACAAATCTACCAATTGTTCAACAAAGTAGTATCACGCCAAAACTCCACTTCTCATTGGAGTCTTCCAAGTCCTAAGAACAAAATTCCCAAGGCAGTCTCCTCCTCACTCATGACTCACCATCCAGACTGGACACCAGGTCCCCAATTCCATCACCTTGAAGACTCTTGAGACCTGAGACCTGGTCTCCACTCTACTTGCTGGTCATGTGACCTCAGAGGAGGAACAACTTTCCTTCAATTGTTTCTTTTCTGAATTTGAGATTTGAGGGCTTAATAGTGACCAAGTGTTACAGAGTCCAAGGACAGGAGCCCTGAAATCATTTATGAGTTTAATCCAGAACTCTTAAGTTACATCCTCCGAGTCTGCAACCTTGTTGTAAAATAAGCACAATGTCTACCTTGGTATTCTTCTGAAGTCTAAACAAATAAAGTATCTGGTACATTATGGACATTTTATTAATGTCAGTCTCTTCCATCTTAAAGTCTTTACCTTTTTCCAGTTTATTAAAACTGGAAGAGTTATTAAACTCTTGTGATTCTTGGAGTTGCTGATTGTTGCAGGACACTAACAGTTGCCCTTGGTCAAAGATGCAGATGAAAAATTCTCAGGGGGAGTGTGGCTTATCTGAAAAGTCCTTTAAGATGCCTTATTGATGACAAGATGCAGAAAGGTAGGCTGGAGCAACTTGCAGAAATAACTGAAACCCAAGGTAACCATACGTCCTGGTGCACCTGTATCAGCCCTGGTTTATACCACTTGTTCCAGTGTCCTGCCCAGTTTAGCATTTTTCCAATATAAATGCATTCTGGTTTGGATGATAAATTATTAGGATATCCACTATATCTCAGAAGCCAGAATGATCAGGGGAGACTCACTAATATTTCAGCTAGCTAAATAACCAAAGCCAGAGCATTTCCATAAGCAAACCTGCAGACAAATGCAACAGTGGCAATTCATAATCTTCCTTTTTTTTTTGGAGTCTTTTGCAAAGCATTCCCATTCATGATTCCCACCCTGGCACGTAGTCATTTATCTGGAGTCCTTGTGGATTCTGGACCCTCGACAAGGAACCCCCCTCACTAGTGGTTCACCACAGAATTCTGTTCCTTGCCCTGTTCAGTATTTTTATTAATTGCCTGAATGAAGACATAGCAGGCATGTTGCTCTTTTGTTTGTTTTTTAAAATTTTTAGTTGTCAATGGACCTTTATTTTATTTATTGATATGTGGTGCTGAGAATCAAACCTAGTGCCTCACACATGCTAGGCAAGCGCCCTACCACTGAGCCACAACCCAGCCTGCCAGTTTATTTTTAATTTTTTTTTTTAGTTATACATGGGCACAACATCTTTATTTTGTTTATTTTTTTATGCAGAGGATCGAATCCAGTGCCTCACATATGTGAGGCATGCGCTCTGTCACTGAGCCACAACCCCAGCCCAGGTTTTTAAAAAAAAAATTTTTTTTTGTAGTTGGACACAATACCTTTATTTTATTTATTTATTTTTTTATGTGGTGCTGAGTATTGAACCCAATACCTTGCATGTCTAGGCGAGCGCTCTACCCCACAACCCCAGCCCTCCCGCTCAGTTTTGAAAGACAGTTTCCAGGGATAGAAAGTTGAGACAGCAAATGAGCAAGATTCAAAATTACTTTACAAATTTAAACAATGGACCAGAAGCAAATCACATAAAATGTGAATACACATCTAAAGACGTGCATTTAGATTTGTTTCAAACTACTCAGAGACAAGCTGCAGGAAACATAACTTGACAACAAATTCTGATGAAACCACCTGGAAATTTCAGAAGACTACAACATAAAAACTGCAGCTGCCAGAAATTCAAATACACTCCTCAGCAAAAGTATAAAAAAATCACATTTTAGGCTGGACTGACAGAAGCATGGTATTGAGGTGCTGGGAGGTAAAGGTCCAGGGTAAGCTGAACAGAGTAGACCGCAGCTCAGCTGCCCTGTCCATGTGGGATCACACTGCCAACAAGGGTGGGCCAGGAAGGGGAAAGGCCAGGAACCCATCTGGCTGTGTCCTGCATGACTGAAGAACTGGGTGCATCTCTCTGACACAGAGTAAGAGACACCTGTCCAAGGAGGCAGGACAGTTGCCTTTAACTCTTGGAAAGGCTGTTAGATGGCTGGGATACAGAATTTATTCTAGACTTGTTTCAAGGGGCAAAACTAATGCCTTATTTTACAACATTCAGTTTTGGACTCATATGAAGAGGTCTTTGCAAGTAACCACAACTGGCCACAGTTGGCACAGGTTCCAAGAAGGGCTGCAGCATCAGGAATGGTTTGCTATAGGGCTGCAAGTATACCCACCAGCCAAAGCTCTCAAATCTGCCACAGGTTCTGCTGAATGGTGGACCCTAGATTTACTTCAATGATTCTATTCAAATACAGGGTGGGGTGGCAGAACCTTAAGATTATCTTGTTTTTCTCTTAATGGGTAACAGGGTTATAAGGGACATAAGACCAAAGAACGTGACCTCAGGCTGTGGGGCTCTAAGCAGGAGTATAGCCGGGAGCATCTCACCTGGGTGCCTGCATTTGGCAGCTTGATATTCTCTGCGGCATCAGTCACATCAATAGAAGCTCGCACAAGAATGTCCAAGTAGTTCAGTTTGGAATATTCCTGATGGGAGACAGTGAACGTTATTAAAAAAGTGACAGATGTCCTAGGTGGTGGCAAATGACTTCCTGGGGACAACCTCATGGCAGGGGTATACCTCTAGAAATGTGCTGTTCCATAACCTTGAGCGCAAAACAAGGGAGGCCTTGCTGTCCAGCCCACGCAGAGGACACCTGATGTTCACACACCTCACGTTCACACTACAGTTCTAGAGCGGGAGGAGGACATGGTCAGAACCCACCATCCAGGAAAGCCCCTCCCCCATCCTCTGTCTTGTGTTCATAGTTCTGGAAAAACACTCACCAGGGTCTGGTATTTTCTTTCAGCAAATAGAGAAAATTTTCTGCTATCATCAATCTGTTTTTCAGCAATTGCCCGCTTTTTTCTTGAGTTGTGAGACTCCTAAAAAGAATTATATCCAAAGTAATTCCGCTTGCTGTAGTTGTTTTTCATTACTATGCAAACATCCCAAATAATGCTGAATTCATATAATCAACAATTAATATTCATCCCTCTCCCATCAAAGTGTAAAACCAGTGTTTTGACCACCCTGACTTCAGTTCACTGATAGATTCATAGGACTATTTAAGTGTTTTATTCTTACTGTGACCTTTATACTCAGGGAAAGAGAAAGATGCTTCCTTTGTTCCTGTGTCCCTACCAAAATGTGAGCAAGTGGCACCAAAACATGTACCTACTGAGATCAGGGATCAGTCCTGTTGCTGTATCCCTGGCACCCAACTCAGTACCTAACATATGGTAGACAGCACATCTGGAATGACTACATGAAACTGAAGAACAGAAAAAGAAGCAAAAAGACCCATTATATGATCAATTCAGGAAAGATCCTGAAAAACTAAGCCAAGTTTTTAAAATTGATTTTCCTTATACAGGCTAGGTTTGCTTTATCTAAAATGCTTAAGACCAGAAGTGTTTCAGATTTGGGAGGAGTTTTTTGGATTTTGGAGCATTTTGGATTTTCAATTTTTGCATTAGGGATATTCAACCTGTAATAAAGAATAGGAATGATGGGCCATTTTGTTTTGATGAGTAAGGGAGTATGCTATCACTAAAAACACTGTAACTAAGAACATGGATCACACCCAGTCGCCCAAGAATTTAAAATGAAAGAAACAGGCAGCATTGACAATGCCAATCTTCATCAAGCTGGAACATAAACAGGCCAGTTATAATAGTGTGCAGCAGGAGAGAGAAGGGTAAAGAGGGGCAGGTTTTGATTTTAAAAAAAGAAAAAAGAAGCTTTCCAAGTCATTTGCTAAGGTGCCAGTATCTTTGGTGATGAGTTCCTAATGATCCTCCTTGGGGTTATACTGGCTGGTTCACTCCCCAGGAGTATGTCCTAATTCTCCTTATATCTCATTTTTGGGTTGTATTTAAAAAAAAAAAAAAAAAAAGTCATTTGTCCCCATAAGCACTGCCTTACACACCATAATGGTAACTGGTCAGCAAAAATGCCTCAGCCTGATTTGGTTTCTAAACTATAAAAGAGAAACTGTGACAACCAAAGAAAAGTCAACGTGCCAGAATGCTAGTTTCTTAAGGAGAGTCATGATTTACCCCTAAAAAGTCAGCTTCTTTTATTTACAAACAGGGAGATGTTAGATAAACCCACCAACATACCTTTAGGTTCAGGAGGTTTATTTCACTTTGTGGCTCACACACTATCTTTTCCAATCCTTTGGATTCTACTTTCACCAAATAAAGCAACCATTTGCCATTGCTAATTTCTTTTGGCCACTGAATATTCAAGGTTGCCGTGCCGAGGTTTTTAAGAGGTTTACCTAAATTAATCACCTGTTGGAAAATAATACACATTATCTCAATGAAATCCTTTCAATGTAAAATTAAGTAGCACCTCCTATTGCCAGAGGAAAAAAATGGTAAAATATCTGTCATAACATAATAAGGCTCCAAAAATGGACTATGGATAGGGTGTGCAAAATGCAGATTTGTGCCTAAACATTACTGTGTCAACAGTTGGGGAGAAAAGGTCAAAGAGATTGCTAATTTAATCCAGGATCAACTGTTGTCTACAACAGCATCAGTGGTGTTTATCTGCCATGTCCTCAACAAGCCTAGGGTAAAGGCCTGTGTGCATTTGTGGACTTCTTTCCCAGCCATACCTGCATGGAGATCATAAGCACCTCCAGTTTCTGCCTCAATTATTTATGTAAGGCTAAGAGAAACCAGTGGAGAATTCACTCTCTTCATCCTGCCAGGGTGGGCTCATTCTTGCTATTCCAGACTTTCACCTCAACAATCACTGTGTTTTCAGGAATGTGATTTGAGCCACACAGATAAAAACCCATGTTTGAGTCATGAATGGATTTCACATTATGTGTTTATGTTCATGCAACTGGACATAGAGTCACTGTGACTGCCTACTTTGAAATGGTTCAGAGATAACCATTAGCCTTCCTTATTGGCATATGCCAAATCTACTAAACTTGCCATCACAAAATTGGGCTTGTAAGACATAAGCAAACATTAACATTCATTCATCCATGAGCAATAAGAAAGATGCCCTGATCAGGGAGGAATAAATAAATTATAACATTCTATAAGATGAACTACTTTGAGATTTTTCTTTTTTTGCGGGGAGGGGGATACCAGGGATTGAACCCAGAGTTGTTTAACCAGAGCTACATCCCCAGTCTTTTATTTATTTAATGTCCCCTCAACTTTTTTTTTTTTTAAAGAGAGAGAGAGAGAGAGGAGAGAGAGAGAGAATTTTTTTAATATTTATTTTTCAGTTTTCAGTGGACACAATATCTTATTTTTATGTGGTGCTTAGGATCAAACCCAGCGCCCCTCGAATGCCAGGTGAGCGCGTTACCACTTGAGCCACATCCCTAGCCCCAACTTTTTTTTTGAGACAGGGTCTCACTAAGGCTTTAGGGTCTTGATAAATTGCTGGGGCTGGTCTTGAACTTGTCCTCCTGCCTCAGCCTCCCAAGTTGCTATAATTATAGGTATGCGCCACAATGCCCAGCTGAGGTTTTTGTTTTACAGACTCTGGGGAAAATAAAGTTTTACTTTATACCACATATTAAAATTCTCTAGTCAACTCCGGAGGCTGAGGCAGGAGGACTGCAAGTTCAAAACCACCTCAGCAACTTAATTAGGCCCTAAGCAACTCAGTAAGACCTTTTCTCTAAATAAAAAATATATAAAAGGGCTGGGGATGTGGCTCAGTGGTTAAATGCCCCTGGGTTGAATCCCTCCACCCCCATACCAAACAAACAAAAAAACAAACTCTCTAAAAAGAAAAAGACTAAACTGTACTGGATTCTGAGCCAAAGGCCTATGGTGAGTGACAGTTGTTTGCCATTCTGGAGGATGAAGTTTTTACTGTAAGCCAGTTTGCTGTTTAAAAACTGGCAAGCTCATTGTTTATCTGAGTATTTATTATTATTTATTAAAATTACATATTCAAGACGACATCTAGGATATGTTAGTTCTAGTTCAAGAAAAGGCCCAAATGCTCCAACTTACCCTGAATTCATACTCTATCAAACTTCCTACTTCATCTTCAGATTTCATAGCTTGCTCCCCGACAACTGTACCTCCAAAATACACCTGGGAAGGTTTAGCAACTCTGTTAAATTAAAAAAACACCAGTTTTAGTAAGGATTGTAAATGGTTCTTTCAAACATTGATTTGTTATGCTAAACACAAACACTTACCCAGAGACCGATAAAAGCAGTTCAATAACCACTTTTGCTTTAGCTGTAATTGAAGCCAAATTATCTTGATTGCTCGTTCTGAAAATGAAAAGGAAACAATAGGGTTTTATTTTAACAGTCAGTTTTCTCATTTCAATTATACTTCTTTTATGGCTTAGATCAGTGCCAATTCATTGACAGCCAGGGTTTTCATAAAATAATTCTGAATGGGAAGGTTGAAATAAACTTACGTCTCCAACTGCAGGTTAATGTCCAGATCTGTGGTGTCAAAGGTGACCTCAGTTGTACTTAAAATCAAGTAAAAAGTAACCTAAAAAAATAAATAGCTATTAACACAGGCCAAGCATATGGGCACTTAAATGGTATTTAGAACTGTAAAATGCAATATGTAAAGGCATCACGTACACTGGAATTTCTTTTAAAAGGATTTCCGAGCTCACAGTCAGCTTGGGAACCATTCTGGTTGGCAACACAACTCAACTGTTTCTCCTGTAACAGAAAAATGCCCCAGGTCACAGCAGGATCCTGTGCCCCATGGTGTTGATTCTTCCCTCTCAGCTAGTCTCAGAAAATACTTACAGGGAAAGCCCTCAGCTCTCTATAAGCAGAATAGGTCAAAGTGTCCGGAAACGTTGCAATGAGTTTGGCTTCGTGGGCATCATCACCATCTTTTGTGGGATCTCTTGGGTTGGAAGGGCTATTTGTCACTGTTATTTCCAAAGCAATATCTTTCTGATCTTTTAAAACTAGCTCTGGTATGCCTTTTTGACTATTAAAAAAACAACAACAAAAAAGAGAAAGTCATCAATACACACACAGTAACTCTCATTTTTCTTTTGTGGTGCTGAAAATGGAACAAACCCAGGCTTGTGCATGCTAACCGAGATCTCTACCACCAAATCCCAGCCCCGGCCTTTTAGTAACCTCCCCCTTATTTATTTATTTAGTTGTTGATGGACATTTATTTTATTCAATTATTTATATGTAGTGCTGAGAATCAAACCCCGTGCCTCACACATTCTAGGCAAGTGCTCTACCATGAACCACAACCCCAGCCCCTCAGTAACCCTTTCTTAACAAAAGGCCACCTAGAAGCCAGAGTCACTTTTGCTAGTACTATAGGGCGATTCTTACATTGGAAGGTAAGAAAATTTGTCTTGATTTCCTTCTCGGGTACAAAATTTATATTCTAGTTTAAGGTTGCTGTTACATACGTTGTCATCTCCACATCCCTCTTTTAAGAAGTGCACCTGTAGGAAAAGAAAGCCAGACAGGCATCTAAAACAGTTCCCATACAATCCATTTGCCTGAGTGCTGATGACCATGACAGAATTCAAACACACCTTGCTATATACTCAATTCCTGCTTGGTCCTTTACCAAAACACTGGCCAGGCGGGCGGGCAGGCAGCCTGGAGCAGCAGAGTGTGGGCAGTGAGTGGAACCACAGAAAACCTGGCTGGGCCACTTAGCTGTGTGGCTTGAGGCCAATACCGAACCTTTCAGAATCGAAGTTTTATAATGGGTCCACTGAAGACACTACCACCCTGTGTTCTAGCCCACGTGTAGGAAGAATTATCAAAAACAATGATGGTGCCAGCTAACACATCGTTTATATATTTAAACTCAATTCTCACAATAGATCACTGAGGAAGAAAAGGTCCCAGTATCATGAGCTCCGCAGTGGAGATGAGGGAAGAGAGTTTAAGGTTAGGAAGGCAAGTGGCAGGGTTTCTAGCACAGTGTTTGATAATGAATTCAATAATCACACTGCTCCATAAGCAGGAGAACTGTCTTCTTTCCTTTATATTTAACAGAACTACGGATCTGGGAATATACACAAGAAATACTTGCTGATAACAAGCAATAAAGTCAAAGCACACAAATTATTCAAAAGTATAAGCCCTAGCAAACAGATTCCACCTCATGAGGATCCCATGAGGTGTCCATCGAGCCATATAATGTATATTTTTCTTTCTAAGATGACATAGGTTGCATTAGGCCCTAACTGATTACTTCATTGTGAGTACTTCTTTGCCTTGCATAATTTTGATATTCCTTAATTTTGATGTTCTAACAGTACTTTGTTTTCTGTCTTACTTTTCCCAATGGTAAAACCCAATGAGTTTTTCTTTCTACACACAGCTACAAGAGAAAAGATCTTCGAACATAAGCTGTCAATGCCAGTCTCAAAAAATTATAGTGGCCCCAAATCATGAAGACAAATACTCTCTGGCCTCAAATTATATTTCACAAGTTTCTCTATTCATTGCTAATTTGGGAAACAAGTCTTTTGAGACCAACTTTGTATATATTAAAAAAGGATATAAATACAAAGGAGGGGCTTTTAAAAGCCATCCAGGGTTCCATTGCATTTAGCATCATGAAAATGGCAACAACACTGGCAAAGCCATAGTCAGGGAGACTTACATCTGTGTGGGCCATCTTGGGTTCGTTTGAATTCAAGATTGGAAGAACTTCTGGTAGTGAATTCACTCGCCTGCGAGAGCTGGGCTCCTGGATCTCCACGGAAGCAGTTATGGGGATGGGGCGCAGTTTGTCTCTGATGTTTTCCTGCAAAGTGTGCAGCGATAAAGCTAACCATGGTGAAAACGCAAGAGGGGAACTCCTCCTAAATGATGACTGTGTGTTGATTAACAGGCTGCTAGAATCAATTTCAAAAAAGCTATGTATGTGGCCATAAAACCCAACTGCTCCCCTCTGTAAGAGCCAAAGTGACCATCACAGTCCCCACCTGCAGCCAGAGGGTTTCCTCCATGCAAATCCGCTGCTTCTGCCTGTTCAGAGTCAGTTCTTGAGTGTACTTGGGCTCAGTAGCTTGGTTTCGAAACTGAACTCTGGATGACAGCCCAGATTTCCTTCTTTCTTTTTCAGCTTCCAGGGTGCCCACAATTGCTAGAGAAAGTTAACAAAATGACATTAACTTAAAGCATGCTCATGTACCATCCGGCTGCAAGGGGGTTGACCTCCTTTTAAAATATTTTAATTCCTCATAACGGTTTTTCTCAGTGTCTTTGCTGCTCTCCATATTTCCTGGTCAGGTACATTTCAAAGATTTGTGATGTTTAGAATCAAACTGTCTTTTCCTTCCCCCTGCTGTCAGCAATGTCTTGAAGTTAAATTTCCATTGGGCCACCTGGGGGAGCTCCAGAATAAGTCAAAACCTTCCTGCAGCAGCGACCAAGAATCAATCACTTGTGGATGGATTTTGGGAACCTACAGAGTAGATAACCAAACACACCCCAAACTCCCTCGGGACTCTTTCCCTTCAAAGTGTTTGTGCTTCAAGGACCTCGGGGCCTTTGCTATTCAAAAAAGGTCTCTGGGAAGCAGCATCTCCTGCCAGCTCAACCGGAACCTGCATTTTAACAGCATCCCCAGGTGATCTTATACATATTCAAGTTTAAGAAGTGCTGATAAAGAACAGTTGTCTAAACAAAAAAATAACATGTATTAGACATAAGAGGTCTTGAGAGTCAGATGAGAACTTTCATTAAAAAAAAAAAAAAAGGAAAAAAAAAGATGCTAAGTGATGTTTCTTGCAGAGGCTGCTGGAGGGCCTGTTTGTCAACAAAATGCAAATGGATTCCAATCTTAGCAGTCTAGGACGGCCTGCCCTCTACCAATGGAACTAAGAGGCAAGCCAGGATTTGGATGATCAAAATCTCATTTCTGGACTTCAGAAATGAAGTTTTTCATCAGGTCACTGGATGTAGCTGCTAACTATGTTTTTCAGGGCTCAGTACTTAAATTACTTAATTCATTAAGCACTCACTAACCACTGGCAGGGAAAGCAAATCACGGGGTGCAAAGGGCTGGGGAAGGAGAAGGCCGCAGAGGGAAACACTCTACCATAGAAAATAAAGGAATATTCCAATACTCATGCAGGGCTAGGAGCCATCTTTTTAAAAATTTTTTAAATTTTAATTTTTTGGTAACAGGGATGAAACACAGAGGACCTTTGCCCTACCCAGTCCTTTTATTTTTTTGGGAAAAAGTCTTACTAAATAGCCCAGGCTGGTCTTGAACTTGTGATCTTCCTGCTCAGTCTTCTGAGTTGCTGGGATTACAGGTGTGCATCACAATGCCCAGCATGGAAGAAACCTTTACGAAAGCATCTATTTTAATAGTCTCTTTGGTAGATGAAGAAAAGGAGGCTGGGGTCATGTAGTGAGGGACAGAGGCATCATCAGCTCTAAGTCTCTAATATAAACACAAGAGATGGCAGCTTTATCTAGCCACTTAGATGCCCAGGTTTCAACTGTCCCTAGACCTCTGCATGGGTCCCATCCCTTCCTCTGCTGGCTGCATTCCCTCCTTTCCCACCATCCCTGGCCTAACCCTACTCCTCCTTCAGATCTCAGACTGGACATTACTTCCTCCAATTAGTCTGTGCTGGCCTCTCCTACACCACCCCAGAATGCTCCATGTCTCCAGTCCTGCTGCCCACTTCACTGAGATTGCCGGATTGTCTTCTGCAGCAGGGCCAAGCTCACCACTGCATTCCAAGCAACTAGCACAACACCCAATAGAAAAATTATCTGCAGAACAGGTGAAGAGGAGTGAGAGGAACTGCCCCCGAGTCTACACACACAGTGACTTATTCTTATGCTGAAATGATTGATAGCTATTCAGATATGTAAGGCCAAAATTTAGAAACACTGACAGTTTTAATAGTCATTTCTGTGTCTATCTGAAATATTCTTAAATGTCACAGCTGCCAAATGGAAGGCTCCTCCATTTTAGGCCCTCCGTAGCCCTGACACCATCCATTTATCAGTGACCTGCTACCTTCACAATGAACCAGTCGGCTCACATGCCGACTGCCCGCTCGGCAAAAGCAAAGGAGGGTGTGGGTGCATTAAAATCATTTATCTACCAAACTCACTCTGACCCTCTCTAGCCCTCTAAACTGTCCACGTCATCTTAAAATCCCTTCATGTCACTTTTGCTGACTTTTTGAGGGGGGAGCCAAGTAGAATGCTCATTAAAGTTCAATTATGAATATCTGTATGTATGGGACACTACATTTGAGCGTTTAATATCCTGGTCAAACAATAAGCTCACATTTTGGGATATTGGGAGAAGATTCTAGATGTATTGAGTTATGCAGCTTTGTGCAAGCCCTATTTAGCCGCTTCTAATACTATGGAAGTACAAGCTATGAAAAATAGTGTGCTCTGAATGCCTTCAAAGAAAAAAGTTCCAACATAATGAGACATCAATAAGCACCTGGTTAATGGGACAGTCAAAGCAAACACATGGCATCAAATGTTGCATTGAAGCTAGGAGAAAGCTTGTGATTTCTCTTATACAAAAGATTAATTTGGAAGAAGGAGAGCTCTGATGAGGTTTCATATTTGTTTCATATTTGTGAAACAGAATGGCATGAAAAAAATGGCAATCAGCATGGAATAAAAAATGTTTTCCCATTTCCTCTCCCCATCCAAGAATCACTTGCTTCTCGTCTCTCGAATCCATGTCAAACAAAGGAAAAAGGCCTATTTTCCAGGAAGTGTAAGATAAGTAAGTTAAGGTACTGTATTTGGGTAAAATAACACCAACGAGGATGAGAGGATGAGAGATCCAGAGGAGACATGGTATATGTCGTCCTGTCATTAAAAGCGGTGCAGCCAAGGCTGGCTGCCCCAGAGAGCAGAGAGTTCCCCTGCACACTGGGATACATCACACCAAAGCCCTTCTCACAGTTCTGCCAGTTCCCCTTCAGAGACAAGACAGCAGGAGACAGCCCAGTAGAAAGGGAGATGGGGAAACTACCTGGAGATAGATTAAAATCTGGAAGGAAGAAGGCTAACTAGGCCTACAACAATGAGAAGTGGGTAAAGACAGACATTTAAAAACCTGCTATAAACAATATGTTTATTTAAACTGTTACTTCTCATAATTTATTAAATGTTCCCGCTTTCTTACTGGGTGTATTCAATACTGTTACATGAAACGTTATATGAAGTTAAATAAGAATGAAAAGTACCCCTAAGAATACAGTTGTGACCTGGTGTGGTGGCACACACTGTAATCCCAGTGACTCAGGAGGCTGAGGCAAAAGGATCACAAGTTTGAGGTCAGCTTCAGCAACTTGGGTCCTAAACAGCTTAGCAAGACCCTGTCTCAAAAATAAAAAATAAAGAGGTTGGGGCTGTGGCTCAATGGTAGAATGCTTGCCTAGCATGTGTGAGGTACTGGGTTTGAACCTCAGCACCACATAAATAAAATAAAGGAATCCCGTCCTTCTACAACTAAAAAAACGTATTTTTAAAAAAATTTTAAATAAAAAATAAAAAGGGCTGGTGATGTGGCTTAGAGGTTAAGCACCCCTGGGTTCAACCCCCAGTACCAAGAAAGAAAGCAGTAATGATCTGTGTAAGATTTACCACTGTGTATCCTAGTCCCCCAGTGTGGTTATTTTCTTCTATTTCAAAGAACCACCTTAGTTTATTTGAATTAAATTCTGGTACATTAGAAGGGACATCTTTTTTTTTTTTTTTTTTTAGTTGTTAATGATCTTCATTTATTTAATTATATGTGGCACTGAGAATCAAGCCCAGGGCCTCACACATGCTAGGTAAGCACTCTACCACCAAGCCACAACCTCAGCCCAGGGGACATCTTTTTAAATAAAGAAAAGAGTAATATTTTCAATAACAAAAAGAAGCTTCAAGCTAGGTATAGTGTTGCATGCCTCTAATCCCAGTTTAGGAGGCTGACGCAGGAGGATCCCAAGTTCAAAGCCAGCCTCAGCAACTTAGCAAAGACCTATGCAACTTAGTGAGACACTGTCTCTAAATAAAATACAAAAAAAGGGCTGGTAACATTCCATTGTGTATATATACCAGTTTCTTTATCCACTTATCTATTTAAGAGCATCTAGGTTGGTTCCACAGTTTAGCTATTGTGAACTGAGCTGCTATAAACATTGATGTGGCTGTGTCACTATAGTGTGCTAATTTTAAGTTCTTTGGGTATAGACTGAGCAGTGGAATAGCTGGGTCAAATGGTGGTTCTTGCACTTTTGGTGCTTGTATTCTTGATAACTGCCATTCTGCCTGGCATGAGATAAAATCTTAGAATAGTTTTGATTTGCATTTCTCTAATTACTAGAGATGTGGAACATTTTTTCATATATTTGTTGACCGATTGTATATCTTCTGAGAAGCATCTGTTCAGTTCCTAGGCCCATTTATTGATAGGGTTGTTTGTGTTTTTTTGGTGTTAAGTTTTTTGAGTTCTTTGTATATCCTAGAGATTAGTGCTCTATCTGATGTGTGTGTGCCACAAATTTCTTCCCAAAATGTTGGCTTTCTCTTCACCTCATTGATTATTTCTTTTACTGAGAGGAAACTTTTTAGTTTGAATCCATCCCATTTATTAATTCTTGATTTTATTTCTTGTGCTTTAGGAGTCTTCTATACACATGATGGAACATTACTCAGCATTAAAGAGAATAAAATTATGGCATTTTCAGGTAAATGGATGGAGTTGGAGAATACCATGCTAAGTGAAGTAAGACAATCCCAAAAAACAAAGACCAAATGTGCTCTCTGATAAGTGGATGCTGATCCATAAGGGGCAGGATGGGGGGCATGGTAAGAATGGAGGAACTTTGATTGGGCAAAGGGGAGGGAGGGTAGGGGAAGGGGAATGGGAGCAGGAGAAAAGGTGAAATGCGATGGACATCATTCCCCAGTACATTTATGACTGCACATATGGTGCGATGCTACATTGTACACAACCAGAGAAATGAAAAGTTGCATTGCATTGTGTACTATGAATCAAAATGCATTCTGATGTCATATATACCTAATTAGAATAAATAAAGGAATAAATTTAATTTTTTTAAGGGCTAGGGATGTGGCTCAGTGGTTAAGTGCCTCTGGGTTCAATCCCTAGTACCAAATAAATAAATAAATATATTAAAAAAAAAAAAACAACCAAAAACAACAAAAAAAGAAGCTTCAGAGAATTCATTGCTCAAGGCAGGGAAAAAGATATGAGAACAGATTGACCCTGCCCTTCCCAAAGCCTCCCTTGGTGGTATCCATATTACAGAACACTGAGCTGAGATGGAAATTCCCTCATTCTTTTTCTCTTTGGAAAAAGAACTCCCCCCAACTCCCTGTGGTACTAGGCATTAAACCTAGGAACTCACAAATGCTAGGCAAGCTCTGGGCTACACCCCCAGCCCATTTTATTTTTATTTTGAGACAGGCTCTTGCTAAATTGCCAAGGCTGGCCTCGAACTTGCGGTCCTTCTGTCTCAGCCTTCCAAGTAGCTGGGATTACAGGTAAGAGCCATCACACTGGCAGAAAAGTATTTTCTTTAAATTCCCATGCCTTTGCCTCAACTCTAAAGCTGGGTCAGGTGGCTCAAAACTATAGGTGTTGCTGTTACTAAAACATACCAGAGAAGACCTTAGCTACCATTGGTATTTTAGAGCATAATTAGCCAGGTCAAAATTTGTGGCAAAAATCCTATTTTGGATTACAAAGAAAGGAGGCAGAACACTACAAAGCCTTTATCACATTTTTGGCAGTGGGGAGTGGGTATCAGAAATTGAACTCAGGGGCACTTGACTACTGAGCCACATCCTCAGCCCTATTTTGTATTTTATTTAGAGACAGGGGCTCACTGAGTTTCTTAGTGCCTCTGTGCTTTTGCCGAGGCTGGCTTTGAACTCGTGATCCTCCTGTCTCAGCCTCCCAAGCTGCTGGGATTACTGTGCCCAGCCCTTTATCACATTTTCATTTGGTTACCATCACTCCAGGCACTGGTGCCTAATAGAGGCATTGCTTTTAACTGATAGAAAATAAAAATTCAGAGGTTAGGGCACTTGCCCTGGACTGTGGGGTCAGAGACACTGCTAAAACTAGAAGCAAGCCTCAGTCTCTTCACCCCTCCCTACCAGCAGGGGCTGCCCTTGAGAATACAACTTGGGTGTCCCAGCCTCAAAGCCCCTGAGAGGGGACCTTGAAGGAGCAACGAAGCCACACCCTGCTCCGGCTCCTTAGCCCCTTTCCACAACCACCACCCACCACCTCACAACCACAAAACCAATTTTCCACATTGCTTTTCAAAGACAGAAACGGAGGAAACCGTTGTGGTAGCAAATAAGTATTTTTCCAAGGCATTCTGTCTCAAACCATCTGCTTTGGAAAATTCAAATGGGGACCAAATGCAGAGTTTTTCCTGCCTCACTGAGCTGCATCCTCTTGATTAAAAGGGGAAACCACAAAAACACTTAATTCTTTAAGCAAGAATTTATGGACCCACTTTCGACAGTGCAGTTTTGTTTTTCTGTGATGTTTGTAGAATTTTCAATCTGGCAGAGAGAGAATATATATTTTTTTAATGTACTAGGTACTTACATATTGAAGGATTATAACCAGCGGGTTTGGCAGTATATTCAAAACAGGCTTTAACCTTGAGGCTGTATGAAATCAAACACGTATTTCTTAAAAGATGTATTGCTGAAGTAGGAAAAAAAACAACACTCTCCCCAGCTCTCCAATCCCCCCGCTGCCCACTGATGAGTAAAATGTCATATATTCACTGGACAGATTGCTCTTTTCTTTGCCCAGCATGCCCTTAATCTTCCCTGTGGCTCCCCAGGGCAACAGGGTCACCATAAAGCAGAGGAAACTGAGCCAGGCTTCTTGGAACCCGGAATAACTCTCACCATATTCCACTTGGCGCACCGCATGCTGTTTTTTGGCGGAGGTCAATTCTGCTAGGAGTTACTGTGATAGTTTTCGCAATGTTAATCACAGGCCGGGACCTGAAGACAAAGGAGTGAAAAACAGCTCAGCCTTTGTTACCTTGAATATGAGATTCATTCACATAGTACATGGCCTTTTCAGCTGTCCTGGTACATCTTAAAACCCACAGCAGAAATTTGCACATGTGACTCCCTCATCATCATCAAAGCAATAACTGTTGATATAAATGTATATCACTTGAAGGATACAATATTTAAAATTATACAGTATTTAAAATTTACAAACTTATGAGTAATACATACAACATGTAAGTTTCACAGTCTTGGCACAAATATCATGCCTCTGATATACCCAAACCCCCTAACAGTCTATGGGTTTGTTACAAATATTATCTAATATTAAATATTAAAAAGTTTCAATTAAATGGGAGCTTTTTATGCTTATTGTCCTGTACACTGCTTTGCCTAATTCACTGACATCTTCAAGGTCTTCTCAAATGTATACACTGAGATCTCATTCATATTTTTCCACAACTAATGGCTACACTGTGTCAATGCAGTGTTCTTTATTTAATCAGTCCCAATTGGTAGACTTTATTCTTGTTAGGCTTTCTTCTCTGACAAATATCACAGCACAAACTCACACATCCACGTGAGTTCATCTGTAGGATGAATTCCTAGCAGAATTTCTAAGTCAAGGAATATATACATTTAAACATTTTTATTTAAATTTATTTTAACATAAACATTTGAAAATTCTACACACATAATTATACATATGTAAATTCATAAATATATGAAACTTCTATAGGGTCCCGTGTGATGTTCTGATACATGTGTAATGTGAAATGTGTCAATCAGGGTACACATACCGATCTGCTGAAACGTTTACCATTTATTTATGGTGAAAACATTCAAAATCCTTTCTTGTAGCTTTATAAAATATAGCTTAGTTATTTTTAGTCAACCTATGGTGCAAGAGCACATGCCAACTCTTTGCTCCTATCTGGAACTTAGTCCCCACCGAGAAAGTTCTCCCCACCATCCCTCTCTATTGCTCTCCCTACTCTCTTACTCTCAACTTTCATGAGATCAACTATTTTAGATTCTACCCAAGTGGAATCATGCAGTATTTGTTTTTCTGTGCCTGGCTTATTTCACTTCACATAACGATCTCCAGTTCTAGCCAGGCAGTTGCAAATGACATGATTTCCCATTTTTTTATTGGCTGAATAGTATTCTATTGTATATACTAGCCACATTTTCTTTATCCGTTCCATCAGTTGATGACACAGGTTGTTGCCATTTCTTGGCTCTTGTGAATAGTGCTGCAATAAACACGGAAGTGCAGATGTCTCTTTGAAATACTGATTTCATTTCCTTTGGATATATAGCCAATAGTAGGATTGCTAAATCATATTGTAGCTCTTCTTTTGCGCATGTATTTGGTACAGGAGATTGAACTCAGGGCCTTGCACATGCTAGGCAAGCACTCTGACACCAAAAACTACAGTCCCAGGCTACCCTTTGTATTTTTATTTTTCAAGACAGGGTTTTTGCTATGTTGTCCAGACTGGCCTCAAACTTGGATCCCCGTCTCAGCCTCCCAAATGTCTGGAACTACAAGTGTACACTAACTCGTCTGGTTATTTTTACTTTAAGGAACCCTCTGTACTGTTTTTCCATGATGGTTACACTAGTTTACACTTTTACTAACAGTGTGCAAGTGCTCCTTTTCCTCCACCTTCTTGCCAGCACTACTTCATTTCTTCTGATTTATGAAAAGCCATTCTTACTGGGGTGAGGTAATGTGCATTTTTAATTCTGAGTAATCTTGCCAAAATACCCTTCCACCACATCTCACACCAACATACATCTAAACCTGGGCTGCTGGCAAGGAGTCTATGTATCTGTGAATTTTAGCAATACAGCCAATCCTGAACTTTTTAATCTCCATCTTATAAACATTTGCCCTTCTTTTATCCTCCTCCCCAAAATCCCACCACCTTAAGAAGGTGTAGTCATACAACTTCCTTAGCCCCACAATAACTCTGAGCAAACACTCGAATCCCTCCACCTATTCCCATCTCTCTTCCTCCTGGAACCCACAAACAGCACTGGGGAATTACACTTTTGTCCTGCTCACCATGTGAAACATCTTTTCTCTCCCTAAGTATTCCTCCCTGCTCAAGACAGTCAAAGAGGTCACCATGAGTCAGAGCTCCATCACCGCCACAGGAAATACCAGTCCATGGTGAGCTTGGAAGATCCTGCTCACCTCCATGGCTCCCCAGCCAGAACTCAGAAGGAGTCAATGTATTCAGCAAGGCTGATTTTTGTGAGCTTGTGATAAATCTAGCCATCCTGGAGAAAAGTGTTTTTATAGAAAAATGGGTTCCAAATCCCAAACAGTGAGCTTGAACTTCTGGAATCAATCTATGTTATGGGCTGGAGAGGGCATGAGTCCATTCAGGGCAAAGACAGGGACCAGTAAAAGGGAAAAATGCCCATATTTCCCATTTCTCCATTTTCCTGTCTCTTTTTTTGTTATATTTAGCTAGCTGTTGGTTTCCAAGACACTGATTCAATATATTTTTGAGTTTTGAGAGCATATTTAAAAGGCAAAAACTCACACATTTTTTTTCTTACTGTATTTTAAAATCAGTAGCCACAGATGTAGAGTGTTTTACATGTCATAGCATTAAAGCATTAGTGTGGCATAAATTCTAAAATATTTTAACACATTTCTGCCTTAGGCTTACTTTAACTTCTGTTTTTTAAACAGACAACATATAGTTTTGAGGGCACTATACATAAAAATGAAAAAAAATGTGTCTAACACATAAGGCAAATCTTACTTGGCTGCCTCATGTTTAATCAGTGTTCAAATACCCTGAAGTACTTGTACAATTTAATAGGACTGAGGTTGGGAATATTTAGGTACTATACCCTGTTCTCTAAGGACCCAGCCTTAAAACCTCAAGCAAGTCCTGGGCCTCAGTTTCTTCATTTGAAAAATAAGAGGATTGGTTCTCTTGTTACCAAAGGGTTTTGAAATTTGCTTTTACACTATCTAGGGAGAAAGAAGGAAAAAGTTAATAGGGTTTAATCACCAACCTAGTTATGAGGACTGCAAAGTAAGGACAGTAAAATATCAATTACACCTAGACAGAGGCAAATGCTTATCTAAAGTTTGGTTATCTATTTATGGGGAAAACTTGGTAATGAGATTATTGGCAAAAGAAGTCTAGTGTCTTTGATAGTATGATACCTCACACTAGAACTTTGAATCGCCTTACCTAAAAAGCTTGCTAAAATAGTTGAATGTCATAAACTCTACCTTTTAAAAATGCTGAATTACTTTAAGGCTACTACCTCCGTGAGCAGAGAGAAGCATGCATGTAAAGGCAGCATCTGAGGATTGCTGCGGAACCCCTCCTGAGCATGTTAACCTGGGAGGACACACAGTGCTACCTGCTCTGCTCTCCAGCATGGTGGATCGGAAGGTCAAGGGGATCTTAAGACTTCAAGACTTCATCACCAAGAACACAAGCCACCATCTACGTAGCCTCCTCTCCCCCATGCTCTTTCCCTCCCAAGTCCCATACAGATCTTCATGTATTTGGTTAACTTTGGTTTCTTCCTCATATCCTCTTCTCCACTTATTTTGATATCTCGTACTTTTGCCATCTGTAACTCATTTCCATGGTTCTTAAGTTTTCATGAGATAGCTTTCCTAGCTCTTGCTATTTAACCAGAAATTGATTTTTCTTTCACTGAATCAAAACAGTCTCTTCAGAAGCATTCTTGGAGCCCGGTGCAACATTGCAAACCTATAGGTCCACCCCGAGGCTGAGGCAGGAGGATGGCTTAAGCCCAGGAGTTCAAGACCAGCCTGGGCAACATAATGAAACTCCATCTCAAACAAAAACCGTCCTGGGGTTGGTTTCTAATCTCTGGGGCTTTGAGGGATTATCTTTTAGGTGTGGCAGCTGTGCCTATACCTGGAAATCTTCTGAAAGAATACAGGGCAATGAAAGCATCCCAGTATACAGAGAACACAGCTTTTCTAATTTAGAGTTTTACCATATATTACTGCCCATTTCTCTAAGGTTACTTTTTAAGAAATGAAAACTACTATAATGACAAATAGCTAACAAAACATCCAAATGGTTCATTTTCACTAGCAAAGAAATGCAAATTACATCAAAAGGTGAGATCATTTATCACACTGGCAAAAATTAGGTGCATTATATTCAACATTGGTAAGGCTGAGAGAAAACAGGCCCTCTCCATGAACAGAAACTGTTGCACCTTATCTGAGAGTATATGTACTAATGCAAAAAAATGCTAACCTATATTCCCAGAATTCTATTTCTAGGAATTTTTATTAAAAAACATCATCACTCAGACATGAACAATGTACTATGTATTCAGAAGCATCCTTGGAGCCCAGTGCAGCATTGCAAACCTGTGTGTGTGTGTGCATGTGCACATATTGTTTATAATAAAGATCAAACTATCTAAAATTTTTTATCAACTGAGGATTGATCCACTGCATATGATGGATTAATATTAAGTCATATTACATGTCTGTATATATGTTTGTATTGACAAGGAAAAGTACCCAAAAGACATGACATTTTTACACACCAGAGAAAAGCAGTTGTAATATGGCCTTTGAAGATCCTAAATATACAGAGATACTCAAAACTGCTAAAATTTGTTTTGTAGAGGATAAGAATACTTATGAACTCACACTTTCTACAATTCTGTTTTAAAATAAGGATCTGCTTTTATAATAAAATTTTTAAAAATAATTTTTTAACAGTGATTCTCAGTAGCAATGAAAACACTGGGGAAAGGAGATTCAAAAGTAGCTGATGGGCACAGTCACAGCCTTTCTGGGGAAACTGAGTCAAGTCTTCAAACCTATACAGTAATTTCACTTTCAGGAGGAGTTTGTCACGGGGAAAAAAATCAAGGGCATGAACAAACATAAGCATTGGGACCACTTCTTATAATATGACAGTGGTGGGAACTGGGAAGCAATGTCAATGACCAATGACAGTGTGGTTCAATAAATCATGAATCTGGCATGGGAGGCCTCCCAAGCTGTTAATTTCATTTTAGAAAAGTACTCCCTGGTATGGGGGAAGTCCTCTATGCAGCATGAGTGGACAAAAGCAGGTTACAGGCAATATGTACATTATGATCTCAAGTTGGTAAATATATATATCCCACCAGGAAATAAGACTAAAATCAAATGTTTGGAGTTCAAGAATGAATAGTGAATTTGTAGGGTATTTTTTTCTTTACTTTTTTTTGTACTGTCAAATGTTTTGTTTTGTTTTTGCATCAAAAGAAAGGTTTCAAAGGTGTATTTATAGTTCAAAATGAACAGGATATTACAGAAGTAATTCTATGATGATATTATACCCAGCTCAAAAGAAAAAGGAAATATCTTTAAAATTTATACAAGCTGTTGCCTTTAAGCATGAGTATTACAAATTTCAATTTAAAAGGTCAAAACCTGATACAGAAGAACTTGATTATAGAACATCCTTAACCAAAGTTAAAGAAAACAAACCTGAAAATAGCTACTGAATCTGAGAGGGAACCAACAGCAACATCAGGATAGGAATTTCTATCAAGATCCATATTTCCAGCAATTGAATATCCAAAAGAAGGTGTTGTACCCTCAAGAACCTGAAATACAAAGGACATCAGAATGGATACCAAGCCACCAGAAATGAGCTGATTATCTATGCTTTGAAAAAAGACACGCAAGTTCTTTTTTGAACTGAAGTACGAGTTCACTTATGCTTTATATTAAATTATAAATAAATTACAAATAAACATATAATACTTCATACATTTTATTTCATAAGACTCATGATTTACACAGTATCTCAAAGGATAAAAGAGCAAATTTTTATGTCTATTTTACTACATTAAGTCAATCAGAGCAATGCAAATCACTCCTCCCTACCTTAATATTTTTTAAAAAAAGAAAAATTCATACTATTACAGACTAGTAAGTAGAACAATTCACTTAAACGTAAATATTACAAGGCCAGAAGTCTTGGGTCAACTTTTTGCTGAGACTCCACTTATAGAAATCCAGGTTACCTGTGTTGGTTTGGTATTTATTCCATTTGCGGATCCATGATAGATAAAAACCTTCCCCAAATCATCATAGGGAGCTCCAACTGCAATATCTGTCGACAACACCACAGTTTTACCAACACTCCAGTACAATGTTTTTAAAATAAGAAGACACAAACATTCATTGAAATAACCAAATAATCCACCTATAAATCATTACCATCTCATAATTTGTTATCTACCTGGATAGCCATCTTGATTAATATCTCCAATATTTTTTACTGCAATGCCAAACATAGAATCTTTGGTTCCATTAAGACGAATTGGCTTGACATTATTCCATCTGCCTTGCTGGTTAATGTAGACATACACTGCACCTCCAACTTCTCCATCTCTGTCAAAATACTGTGGGGCTCCAATTACTATATCTTGCCACCTAAGAACATGAGGGGAAAGAACTATGAACCATTGGCTAACAGACCTGTAAGCCTGGGGAGAATACAAGCAGCCCAGTATTAAGGACAAACAAAAAGATAAAATAAGACCTCAAATCAAGATTTATGTAACACCAGTTAAAACATTTTAAAGAAAAATCAAAGTAGCCTATAATAATTACCCCAAGAAAAGTATTAAAGGTAAAAACTCAAAGTCACTTCCTCAAGTTACAACAGTACAGCAGGATTCCCAGCAAAGATCTCACTACTTCACACCTATCTACCTGGCACCAGTTACCATAGATTATTTACATATTGACTTTGTCACCAGTCCCTATTTTTTGGGTGGTGGTGGGAGGTGCTGGGTATTAAACCCAGGAGCCTGTGAGGGCTCCAATACTGAGCTGCACCCAGGCTACTAATCCCCACCTTCAAGGAGACATTCTGGATGCTCTATGGCCCCTTAGGAAACCACAGAACAGAATCATGTAGATGTAATTTTCTGAGTTAATTATTTTTTCAAGTTTTAATTCTCATGAACCCACGTTTCCAAGACATGAGTAAACACTTAGCATTAAACGTGTAATCCTACACCCTAGTTAGGATAATGAATATCTGCTGCCATACAAATGATGAAGATGGGGTGGGATGGTAAAAATCTAGCAGCAGATACAATCTTTACACCCACTAACCTAAAAGGATGACTGTTCTTAAGAATTACAAAAGGTGGTAATAAAATCATCTCCTACTTCCTTACCCGTCTTTGTTGAGGTCCACCACTGCCACGTCATAGCCAAATGAAGAGGCCAGACCTTCTCCATCAAATATGTGCTCGGGGAGAAGATGTGCAGACTTCATGTCTCTTTTTAGCAAAACCACAGCTCCACTGTGATTGGCTCTTGGTGCACCAGACACAAAAGTGATCTCATCTTTAGAAACAATACCTTTCCCTGAGTCCAAAGAAAAGCCTAGAAAAACAAAATAGAACCTCTGGCATCAATCCTGTATTTCAGGAAGTATAGGCACTGGTAAATTCCATCATTATCTTCTCCTCTGGCTTCCCACCCAGCTCCCCTCCTGACCATCCTCCAGCTACCATATTTATAATGGGAGTTAGAGAGCTGAGATATTTGACACTAGAACAAAGTACTAGGGCTACTTCTCTGCTTTCTGTGAGTTTTAGGGCTTTTAAAGAAAAGTGCCTATGTTATTTAGCATTTGTGTAATTTGAATTATGAAGTATTCGTGTATCTTAAGAATCAGTTCAAATCCTACTTTAATATTAAAACTGATAAAAGGACAGCAACCCATATACTCATCATCCATGTTCATCAATCTCCTTGGTAATCAGGCAAGAACAAATGCCAGCATCATTAATAGACCATAGATAGCACTGCATTATTTTGGATGAACTTAATTCTCAGACACAAGCATGCAAACAAAACCATGACTGATGATACACAGTATTTGAGAACCTACTGTGAACAATAGAGGTGAGTAAATTGTCACTGGTATCAATTACATTCTTGCTCAAAGGGCAGAAAATGTTGAAATACTGAATTATAAAGCATTAGGTAGGATGTCAGATTACAAAAGCTGAGATTTGCTGGCCAGCAAAAATAAATGGCCATATCAAACTTCTTAAAATTAAGCAAATCTTTCTATATAAGGGTGAGGCAGATGTAGAAAAATATAAGCTCACCCTTCCTGTAGGACTTTATTCCTGAAAAGCTTCACCACTACTGTTGCAGTTCTCAAATTGTGAGTTGAAAAATATGATGAGCCACAAGTTTAGAATAGGGTGATATAATTGAATCCAGCTCTGAAAACCATCTGGCAGCAGAGCCTCAACCAATGGCATGCTTTTTGTGTGTGCTTCACTTGAAATGAAATAGAAAATAAAAAGATTTATGCTCTGTATGGATCAAAAAAATTTTTAAATGACCATGACCAAGACAATTTATTTGTCATCTCAGAGGTCACAAACCTAGGTAGCTATTCATCATCACATCGGGGGATGTGTCAGGCTGCTCCCTGGGAGGCCGTGTTTTATAAACAAACTGATCGGGATCTGTATAGGAAATGCTGGTCAAAAACAGCAGGCCTGTACACATGCACGGGATGGAAGAGATTGAAGAAAAAAATCATTATGCTTGGTAAGAGGCAGGAGCACCGCTGCCATTCTGGCTGGCGGATAAGGCTGCTACCATATCCAGTGAGCTACCCTCCCAGCCAGCTCCCCAGACCTCAGGCAGATCCACTGTATTCCCATTCTTCTCTTCAATCACAGCTTCACACACAACACACACACAAGTAAAATGGAATACTACCAACTGATTTCTTTCTCAGACATTCATATTGAAGGAAATCCATTCTAAAGGTGGCAAACGTGTTTAAGAAAATATGTTTCATATTTTCATATGTTCTGACAGCAACTATGTTTAAAATCCACAGGCATCTGTCATAAAAGCCCAAAATATTGGTTTCTTGACCAGAACAATTAAAATTAATACGTCTCAATCCCTAAATAATACATGTAAAGAAAGGCTGTTGGTTAACACAACCATAAATAAAATATTGTTTTGTTGCTACTCACCTTGAGGGCTTTTACCTTGAAAACCCACTTTTAATACTTGAGGCTACAAACCCTTGACCCCCCCCCCCTTCCTGTCCTGCGAGGACACTAGTAGACTATTCACATGACCAGCTGCTCCCCAGCTTCCTCATTGTCAGGAGGATTTCTTGTCTTGGCTGAGGGATTACTTATGTGGTGGCCTTGGGTTAGAAAATTAAGCTCCCTGAGCCACAGTTTCACTCAGCAGTTAAAAAAAAAAAAAGAAGAAGGAGGAGGAGGAGGAGGAGGAGGAGGAGGAGGGGGAGGAGGAGGAGGAGGAGGAAGAAGAAGAAGAGGAAGAGGAAGAAGAAGAAGAAAAGGGGACAGGGGACAGTAATACTTATTCATAGATATATAAGGCACTGCATATAGCACACAAGAGGCTTTTAACAAACAGAAAGCATAATTTTCCTCTTCTTTTACACCTTCATAGCAAGTTTTTCTTCGGGAAAAGAACAACATATCAAAAGTATTAATTCATAGTACCATTCATACATATTTATGCCATTAGAACAACTTAGGTATGTTTACTAGCACATTGTTTCAAATTATTTATGTACCATACTCTAGGATTTTTTCCTTATTTTTAACCTTCCATTGTTTCAATAATATCTCCAGCATCTGGGTACTTTGTCTTTTTTTCTTTTTTTTTTTCAAAATAGGTTACTATTCAGGTTTAGAAGATTTTTTACATTTTTTCCAAGAAATGCGCAGTAATTATTCTTTATGTCAACTCATCCCAAGAATTAAAGCTTTTAAAAGCCTTTGTGTAATTACCATAATGCACAGGAATAATTTAGAACGCCCATTAGTAATGCAAACAAGCCTCAGGAGTTAAGGAATTGGCACTTAGACACAATCCGGGTGTCCTCTGAGCTGCTTTTGCAGTCCCGCCCACCCTCAGCCCAGAAGGCCTTGTGCCACCCGCCAGAGCCCTGTGACATAGGAGCTCCAATCCAGACGCAAGGGCCAACCCCTGAAGAATGGCAATCACAGAGGAAGGAACTGGAGGTCTCAACCTACCACTTATGAGTAACTTTGTAAGTTAGTTCTTAAGAGCATCTCCAGAGAAAGGCCTCAAAGGCAGAGGGAAGGCAGATGGGCCTACTGTGAACACCCAAGCCACATATTCTCTTGGCCACATGAATGGCCTGCCTCAGGCCACCACTGGTTCAGGAGACAAACGTCAAAGTGATAGAATGGATGGTTTGAGATGATGGCAAGTTTTTTTCTCCCCTCTTTGAGGGAGCCCAGATCAGAAGGGAAGGTTCCCAGGCAGTCAGGTTACCTACAGATCACCAAGACTTATTAAGCTCCAGCAACTGCAGCCAAGGCCCCTAGCTCCTCCTGTCCTATCTCAGCCTGTAAGGGCAGGGACCCAGAGCCCACTGAAGGAGAGTCGCAGTGTCTGAAAAGGTAGGCATGCCACCTACACTCATTCCTACCTAAATAACTGTTAGCAGGAACAGGAACGAGACTTTCATCATGGTCAGTCTCTCCACCAACTTCATAAGGCCCATCTTCAAAGATGTTCATGTCAAAAAAAGTGTTATTCTTTTGCTCTACTCGAACAATCCCTAAAGGAATGAAATGGTGAAACAACAACAAAAAGAATGAAGATGAAACAAAATAAAATAATGGTTCCTAATAAACACCCCCCCCCATGTTATCAGAGAGAACAGGTAGAAAAGTTTAGAGGAAGAAAAGGAAGAGGAAAGACATGACCTTAAAGGTTGTTAGACATGTTCATGTAAATTTTTATGTGAATGAAATCTGTTCTAGTAATTGGAAAAATGCCCCATGCATTTTAATGAACCATCTTTATAATTCGATGAAATTAGAAGAAAAATGTAATGTTCATGCTTAGTCAACAAAAATCTTTACAGAAAACTAATTTTTTAAATGATATGAACTTGATATAAATGATATTTTATGTTCTCTATAATCCTAAATTAATTTTGCTTTTCTATAATGTAAAAGTATAATATATTGGATCATTTCTTTATATTGCTTGAACAGAAATTTCATCCAAAAAATTATTGCAGTTATTATAAAGTTTTCATACAGTAAATACACAACTTTTTAAAAAATGCCAATATTTTAAATCAGAATGGGTAAAGCAGATAAGATATATTTACCATGAGTTAAAATACATAGTTGGCAGGTGTTTTCACTGTTTTGTTTGTTCGATGGTCCTAGGGATTGAACCCAGGGCTTCATACATAGTAGGCAAGTGCTTTACGTTGGAGAAACGTTCCCATCTCTTCTTGCTAAAATAAAGCTATTTCTAAATCCAACGTGTCATTTCAATTAGGTCAAAGCAACCTGATGATTTGTCTCATGAAAGACTCTTTTTGGGGGCACAGTGGGCACAGGAAATTACTCTCCAAGGTTACAATGACAGACACACAGAGGACATGTGCTCAAGCATCACTTGCGATTGTAAATAAAACTTGGAAAAATTTTTTAATGGAAAAGGGAAAATTTTTCTATGCCTTTCTTAACTGTAAAAATGTTACACAATTTTAAATAAATTTCTCAAAAAAAAGTTTAATGTCCGAAACAGATGCATCATGCTTTTTAAAAAAATATATATAGCAATTTTCTATAGTGGCTTAATTTGTTCAGAGAAGTTAAACTTTATCACAGGAAGTGACCAGGTGTATCCACTCAGAAAATGTGGGTATTTTCATCTTTTCCTACCAGTGTCTCCTTTTACTCCTTATAATAAACAATATCATTAAACAACTAACAATTTTTATTAGTAAAACAAGGTCATCTGAGACAATGTATAATGAAAGAAATGTTCCTATTTTCCAACTGTTATTGGTATCCACCACTTGATGCTTTTCAGTTTTCAGATCACTTAAAATGAAAACTAGTTTCATGAAACAGACAAATATAAAATAATAAAAGTGACTTATGTTAATTACTCTATTACATTAGAAAAACGTTAACTACTCACACTAATGTAGCATACTAACTAGAAGAGGGAAAAATGTAGACATTTTCTTTATTCGTTCTTAATCATGTTAGACATTTCAACATCCTAATCCTTTTTTATAATACATAAATGCCTTATAACACATTTTAACTTGAAATATACTAAATGTGATGCACATTATAGGAATTATACAGACATTCTAATATCCGTTTCTGTAAATATAAACACCATACCTTTCCAGTTATAAGTACCCGGGGCTCCAAACACAATGTAATGAAAGTCTTTAGTAAAAGTAGCTGCTACACCTTGCTGGCAAGAACCAAACTTTTCATGGCCTCTTAATCGGCCATCACAAAAACTCCAGTCTCCTCCATCCATATCATCTTCAATTTTAAGATTCTGACTCAGGACATAACACCTCCCAAAGATGTCTCGAGACTCCTGCTTTGTGTTAACATGTTGCCTTTTTTCATATCGATGAGCACATGTCTGCAAACACATGGAATAAAGTAGCTCATTCATGTCTATAGACCTTGTTTTAGAAAAAAAAAAAACAAGTTGAAAAAACTGTCAATAATAAAGAGGTCAATTCTAAATAGGATGATTAAACATGTCCTCTTCCTAGGATCAAATTCCAAATCAGCAAATCTTCCCCAAAATGGTACTAAAGAGTCTACTAACAAAAATAGAAGAAGGAGGATTTCTGCTTATTCTCACTCAGAATAATGCTTCAATCCAAATATTGAATGCCAGAGTATTCACAGGCAATTTGTCTGTAAATTTACTTGTCACATAAACAAAGAGAAACACTTTCCTGCTTCATTTTCTTAACTTAATTGGCTTTTAGTGACTAAGAAACTTCTACATCAGTGTGAAAATAATTACATTCTGGAAGAAAGAAATCATGGACTTGTTTTCAAAAGAATCAAGCAAACACAGCTAAAACAAAGATATTTTCTTTTTACCTACACTATTTCCTTCTAATAAGTCCTAATTTACACTCTGCATTCTGAGATTATTTCTGGGAATATGACTATTTTAAAAAGGCAGAGAGAATTGTCTTACCAGAAGAGATGAAATAATCTCTATAATCTCTACAGGGTAGTCTACATAACATAATCTGGGTATCTGAAAAATATTTTACAATACCCAAGACAATTTCCCATAATTCACGCCTTAACTATAAAAATTCAGTGTTCATTAAAATGTTAATTTTTCTCATTTTCTGTATAAATTTTGCTATAGCAATCAGATTTTGAAAGTAAGACAAAAAGATCTTCATATCCTAACGTGGAAGCAGTTCCAAGGCCACCTAGCATAATCCATCTAACAGACTCTCTTTTCTTTGCTACAACTTCTATTGGAAGAAGTTCAATGTTAATGGCTTGGAAATAAGATGTCCTCCAAAAGCTCCTATATTAATGCAGGAGATGAAATGACTGGATTATGAGAGGCTGCATCTAATTAATGGATCACTCCATTTCACGGATTAATGATTTGAACGAATTGCTCGGTGGTTACTATAGGCACATGGAATGTAACTAGAGGATGTGGGTCACTGGGGGCATTCCTTGGGGGTTATATATTTTGTCCATGGCTCCTCCACTTCTCTCTCAGCTTCCCACCACCATGAGCTGAGCAGCTTCTTTCTGCCACATACTTCTCTCATGATGTTCTGCCTCATCTGGGACCCAAAGCAATGGAGTCAGCCAATTATGGACTGAACCTCTGAAATCATGAGCCAAAATAAACTTCCTCCTCTAAGGAACTTCCTCCTTGTTCTTGTCAAATATTTTGGTCACAGCAACAAAAAACTGAATAACACATTCAGAATAAACAAGAGTTTAAAATTACCTGATATTACTTTTCAAGATCATTCCCACATTTTTTATAACTTATCTATAAAAACTAGAATATTCCTACGACAGAAACCACGTCTAGTTTTGTTTTGCTTTTTGTTTATGACCATCTAGAGTTTTAGGAATACTTAGTAAAGGTTCATTGATAAGTTCTTTGAATCTGAAAGTTTGTATAACTTTGATCAAAGCGCATCAGGAAGCACAGGGAAAATGATGGTTGGTTTCTTCTTGAAATCACTTCCTGCTATAATGTAGGAAGTTTGCTATAATGTGCATCTCCAGAGGTAGGGGCTCTGCCTGTGTTTTCCACTGCTGTAAGCCCAGCGCTATCACATAGCAGGCATTACAACACTGGAATTAACTATTTCTTGGCACTTACCACCACTTTGCCCCCTGGACCTTGACTCTGGACAGTGACCCCCATCCATTGATCTTCCTTGCTTTCTGAGGTAGGGTCAGCTGTGGGAAGCAAGACAGGTTATATAGACTCAGATTATAAAATAACAGATGAACAAAAATACAAGAAACCGTTTCCAAATTGCCTTAACTCCAAGTCTAGCTACTCATTAAATTTAGTCAATACAGAAAAATGATTTTTCATCTCAAGAAAACAGAGAAATTGTTATTGGTAAGAATGTATCATAAGCTTCTATAGATAGGGGCATAGCTCAGTGGCAAAGTACAAGCCCATAGGCTTGTACTTTGATCCCCCACACTGCAAAAAAAAATAATAATAAAAATAAAAATTTTATACATAAAAGACATCTCTCTATATGATGGCCCATGTTACCCAACAATCCCCTTTGCCCTCCCTTGAAACCCAAGGCCCTGCATATAGAAAGGTTTTGAAAATTGCATGGCTAAGGAGTAGCCCTAAAAGCAATAATGTAAACTCCAGACTCCAAAGTCCTGTTCCATTCAAACTAACAAAAAGTTGGTGCTTCTCTATGTACTCCTCATTTTTACAAAATAGCATGAATTATCCTTTTCTTTACTAGAGACAAAGATAAGGCACCAGATTCACTCACATTTGACAAGTGAAATCTTTCACCAGTACCAAGAAGAGAGAGAGGTACTTTTTTAGCCAGAAAAAAGAAAAAGCACAAATACCACCATGTGGTCATTTCAGCATCAACTCAAACCCACATGTTATGACCCTATATCCAGATTTCTGCCTCTTTCAATGAGAAGCAAGACAGGTACAACCTTTAATCCTACATCATTACAAAAAGTATAAAAACTAGACACCTTTACATAGACATAAAGAAAAGTGCCAAAATATTAAAGAGTATACTAAATACTGAGGTTACCAGTATATCTTGATTTTTTGCTTTATATGTCTATGTATTTTACAAGTTTTTCTATTATTAGGATCTATTTTTTAATCAGTAAAAGAAAACACCAAATGCTATTCCTATAAGATAAAGAACATAAGCATGAATCTATATATTCATTTAGAATGAGCACATTAAATTAGGTTTGGCAGGAGCATCTCAGTACATTAATGGCTCTGCTCAACCAGTTAAATTAAATGTTAACATGGTCTACATGATGGCAGCTTCTAGACACCCAGAATCCTCAAAAACAAGTCTATGAGAGTGTAGGACATATTTTATCCATGTTAGTCAGCCCTGAGAGTGGTCTGATATTTAAAATAATCTTTTTCAGGGCTGAGGATGTAGCTTACTGGCAGAATGCTTACCTGGTATATGTGAGGCCCTGGGTTAGGTTTCCAGCACCATAAAAAAAATAAAAAATTTAAAAGTCTTTCTCCCAAATATTTTCAACAACAAGTGATAACTTTTGGCTGTTTGGGTACAAGACATACACAATGAATTTTCTTCACTGTTATAAATTTAGCGTTCCAACAGCCTCCTGCAGAACTTCAATATAGCACTAGGTGGCAATGGCAATACATGGTAAGAGTTAAGGAACCAGGATTAGAGGACACAGCAAAAATGCCTCATCCCAGTGTGAGCCAGAAAGTAAATATTTTCAGGGCAAATAAAAAAGTCAGGACCAGAGGTCCTCTCTGCAAGAATAAATGCTTGCATCCTCTCCTTTCCTTCCTCATGAAAAGAGCAAGTAGGGTGCAGGCTGGGGTGGCCAAATGAATACCAAGTGAGGGCAGAAGAACCCACCATCGTTATCAAATTCAATCCGAGTGCAAGGTCCTCGGGAGGTGATGTCACAGCTGTACAGGCCTCCAGTCCTGTTGGCCCTCTGCAGCGGGAGGGCTTCTGCCCGAGGTGCTCCCACCAGCAACCTGGTGATGAAACAGAATTTGAGGACCTCAATTGAATACACATTTAATAATTCAACATGTCAGAAGGCAGAGCTATTGGGATAATTCTTTGTCAGGGGCTCCGTGAATTCTCAGCCAGAGAGAATTCTCAGTCCTGGTTCACACAGCACAAATACACATGACACAGTAAGGCAAAGGAAGAGGGGTCTCAAAACAAAGGGGAAATAAGACTGTCTGTCACAGTGTCAGCAACTCCTGCCAGGTATGATTCTGGTGTTTAGGATACTTTTCAAGAATATGACCTCTGCACCTGAGCCAAGGATGGCATAGGCAACTCGACAGAACAACCCACACCAGCAACCCATTTAATAAGCAATGACATGTCAATCCTGACCCTGCGTCTTCCTGAAGTACTTTTCAACAGTAAAGTACTAGACTGTGACTAGACTCTAGACCTTTAGTTTATCTATTGACTTTGCATAAGATACAACTCAATTAAATTACTCTTTTGCAGCCTCGGCCTCTTTCAATTTTTTTTTTCCCTTCCCCAGCTCTCCTGGGGTGTGATTAACAAATAGAAACTGCATTTATTTAAGGTGCAAACTTGATGTTTTGTCCTCCTAAGTAACTTATTGCACTCTCGTCTTCCCATAGGAGCTCCTCCACCACCATCAGTTCTCCCACAAAGGATTAGGGATGAATTGGGAGTGCCAGGAGGAGAGATATTCCTTCTCCTGCTCATCTGTGTTCCTATTAAGAGGGCCCTCAATTGAAACCCACAATCCTTAAAACTTTACTATTTCACAGCCAGAAGGTTCTTCACTCACCATTGGTTTATAATCTTTGGGGTCTGCCAGACTAATGGAACAACTAGGAGAATAAATAGGAAGAAAAACCAAGGACTGAAAGTTCTGTAAATAAGGCTGGATCTGGGAAAGAGCTGGGAACAGAAATGTACAAACAACAAACTCTCAGAACAGAAAGCAAGCCACTCCTGGCCTTCAAGAGGCCCACAAACTCAGGTGCAAAAGGAAAACAAAACACAATCCAAACCCAATAAAGGACTTGATTTTTGTTTGTTTGTTTGTTTTTGTTTTTCTTTAAACTGATACAATGCAGCTGGTGCAGCAGGAGGCAAGTACACTTGGAAACCCGGCTGCCGGTGGGGGTGCATCCTGCCTAAGGAGGCTCAGTGAGGAGACCCAGGGTTGCCCTTCCTCCCACATCCCAGCCTCCACCTCTAAGCCATCCTTTTTTGAAAGAATGAAAGAATACACATCAAGGTACAGAAATGAAGCAGAAACTTAAGAGACCAGTCAGTGCCTTTGGTGCTAAAAACTTCTCACTAGAAGGCAGAAACAAGGATGGGCTGCCAAGGTCTGCTGAGGTCCACCCCACATCTATCCCACTCATGTTGCTCCTGACCCTGCAAGTTTGGTCAATGGCACTTGTGGGGATGGAACCTGCGCCAGATCAGAACGGGGTAAGCAAGGGGATGGCACATTGACTCTGCAAGCCCTGATTTTACAGAGGGAGAAACGGAGGTCTGGTGGGAGGTTCATCACTCTGCCCATATGATCTCACAGCTACTTGGCAGACGTGGACAAAATTACCTGGGGCAATGTCTCCATTCCTTTAGAATGCTTCCTAGCTAGGAAACAAATCTCAGGATTTTAAGGAGTTCACAACCAGTTGAGAGGGCACAATTTATACCAATGAAACCCTGAAACAAGAACTCTTCCGTATATTGACAGATTTAAAACTAAACCCTGACAAGTTGAGGGAAGGAAGAATCAGCATTACTGCAACTACAGGGGTAAAGGTAACCAACTGCCAGAAGGACGCTATAAAAAAGCAGCCCAGGAGGCCCAATGTTTTTACTGTGTCTTCTCTAGCAACTTCCTCTTCTTTCCCACACCCAAGGAGGCTCCTAAGCTACCTAAGGCAGGCAGGAGGCTGGTTATTTCCATTCACCCCATTTGCTCATTCATTCACTTACTCATTCAACAAACACTCACCAAGAGCCCTCAAGTTGAATAAGGAATGGCATCCACCCCTCAAACTCTTGGTCTGGAGACCCTGAATCCATATATAGGACACTAAACCACAGGGAGGTAGAGGACATAACACAGTGCTGCCCCACTAACACCTGCCTGGGAGGAAGAGTGTCACCAAGAGATGACAGCAGAGCTGCAGGTGGCCAGGTGAGGAGCACAGCACAGCAAAGGATGTAGGGGAAAGCACTAGAAGAAACAGAGAAGTGGGACACAGTGGCATGACAAGCCTGGGGTGGGGATGGGCAGCCTGGTGGGCAGAACTCTGGCCCAGGGGAGAAGGGTCAGAGGGTGAACAGCATAGCCCCAGGCTTCCACTATCTCTCCTTCTGGTGCCCTGCGAGGAACAAGGGATCCAAGGCTTCCCGCAATTTCAAAAGCTGTGGAGGTTCAAAAGCTGCTTCAAGGGAGAGTCCTTCAGGGCTTCCTCTGGCCCTTTTCTCCTTGGTACCTCTAACCCTCAACATGTTCCCTCTACCCTGAAGGCCAACATGTATGTATGGAGCAGCACAGGCATCTAACTCGAATGCACAGGCTGGATTCAGGGGCTGTAGTGAGAAGAGTTCCCATGTACCAGTGCCAAGCTCTTGCAGACAGGTCCTCCCATTTTACATGTGGAGGCTCCTGCAGACGAAAGTACAGGATACAGAAGGAAGCATCAGGGCGGTTTGGGGGATAGAGACAACAAATTCAAAAAGACAACTCTACAAAATAGGGCAATGTATCTATGGGGAATGATGTTAGCTGTCAAAGTCCAGACACATCCTCATCCCACCTTCATGCAGTCTACCCGGGGTGCAGGAGGACTGGTGCTTCACCGCCTTTGGCAAATCCCCTGGTGGTCGTAGGAGGAAGAGTGGATGTGGACGGCAGAGGGCACCCTGCTCTGATGCAACCCTTGCCAAGGGACCACTGCACTGACCAGGTAGAATCTGAGTCATAGGAAAGCGAGGCCACAACACGATGGAAGAACATGGTAACCCCAACCACGCTCAGCAAGTGGTAGGGCCTTAATCCCCAAAGCTGCCCTTTCTGGCTCAGAAAATAAACAAGGGCTCTTAATTGTGCTTTGAACCAGCCTTAAATGCAGGAGGTCACTGTCCATTAGCTAAAGCTATATTTGGCAGGAACAAGAAAATAAGCAAAAAATAGAGCTGTGTCTAAACAATGACACCAGGGAACAAACTACTCACTTGCTAATCTAAGTCATTTAGGACCTGGGTGCTGGTCTAAGCTGTTCAGCATAGCTTACCTCCTGAGCCAGCAGAGTGCAGGTACAGAAGGGACAGCCCACCAGAAAGGGACTCTCAGCCCATGCCAAAATGCCATATCAGCTCAAATCCCAGCTTTCTTCCCTCTCCATCCAGTACCCTTTGATGCCAAGTGCTGGGCCCCAGGCTGCCCAGGTAGTTCACTGTGAGAACCAGGTGCTCTCTGGGTACCACCAGGATGCCCGGCAACTCTCCTGGGACCATCCTGTTCAGAACATTCTCTTAGGCAGCCACACTCGTTACTGACCCTTCCAGAGCGGAGGGAGGAAGTCAGAGCTAGTACCAGCTCTACATTCAGAGCAACAGGCCCAAGGGATGTGAGTCACACCTTTGTAGGGAAGTGGTGGAAGTTAACAAAATAGCAACCAACAAGTCCATTCCCATACCAGGTCACAAAATAAAATTTATAAAAATGAAGGGCTAACATCTGGGTTTGAACAAAGATCATTTCAGACACCAAAAGGAATAGGAAAGATCACTTTCCAGGTTGCTTTCAATGCAGCTAAGGGACCATCGCCCCTACTAAAGCTGTGCTGAAATAAAAAGTGCCTAGGGATTTCAACATATAGGAAATCCACATAAAAGAAAAAGACTCAGAATTTGCAAAAACACAATATCATCTTTAAAGGTAAGAAATAAATCTAGAAAATAAAATGCACCAAAGTCTAACTATACCCATATGACAGTAAGTGATAGGTATGATATGAATTCAAGTATTTGGGATCTCGATTAGAAGTCTTGGCACAAAGGTTCAGGACCCATCACACCATGCTATTAACAGTGTTATTTCAAAATCTTCAAGTAAGCCAGCCTTCTGTTCATATATTCAAATCCTCTCCCAAGGAGAGCTGAATTATTTTTGCCCACCTACTTCAATCATTAGTTCTAAACACTGGGGCACTTTTAAAAAGTCAAAGGACTTTGCTTTATTGTCTTTGGCAGTAATTCATTTCCTCAAGGATTAAAGATTCTGCCTCTAGCTATGCAACTTTGTCCCAGGAAATGTGAAATATCACTTCATTAGAACAAGGACACTATTATTGCATAATCTGAAACACAGCACCTTAGTTCATCTAAATTATGACCTGAAAAATTAGAAGATGGCATTACTGTTGGTAATCTCTCATATGAAACCCATCTTCAGACTCAGTATTTAATATCTGGTAAAGTAATAAACATCAATTATAAGAAATAAAAAATAAAGAAGTTTTGGTGGAAAGCAACAGATTCCAAACTCATTATCTGAAGCTCTACTCTCTAGGTGAATCTCATTTTTTATTCTGGGCTTAATTCTTTTTAACTCTAGATTATGTTTATTTCTTGATTTATCAGTTTTAGGCAATAACAGTTTGCCCCACAAAATGAGAATGGAAGAACTTTCATACACTCAATTCTATTTGCTACTCTAATTTTTAAATACTTAAACTTCTATCTTCCCTTCAACATTTTTTTTTAACCTCAGGATACCATTTTATTTACTTACAATTTTAAGTCGTTCCAAAAAAATGTATATTTTTAAATTTGGAGGCGAAAAAGAAAATACATTTCCTTCACTTCATGTTCTTTAGCCCTTCAACATTTAACAAAAAACACCACTCCCCAGTTGGGACGTCAAAACTATCAGCATTTTGACCCTTTCCTCTATACTTTCCTCTTGGTTTCTCCAAGTCCTACCATCTGTCAGCTCTCCTTTTAC